GTACGGATTCTCCAGCTTTAGAGATTAAATACACTATTCTTTCTTATTTGTAAACAATTTCTAAAAATATATAGCTTTTTTTTCTCTCCTCAAATTAGTTCAGTTGCCTAAATACAATCTAAAATTGACAAAAATCAGCTTAGGGTCATCTTAAAATTCTAAGTCATCCATTAATTTATTGTTATTATGCAGGAGAGAAGGGCAACCAACTAATGCCCCTTCACACAAGAGACAACAGTGGCATTGGATGCAGGAGTTTGTACTAAAACCAAAGGGTTGTTGGTTCGTCGCTGGCTTTCAAGACACTTCACTGACATCGCCTTGCAATGCTTGCTGCGGGTACCGTGGTGCATGTGTACTGCAGCCGCACTTCTTGTTAGTGAGGCCCAGGGCAGCTGTGGCTACAGCATAGTTTGGGCAAGTCACCTGACCTGAAAAAGTGCTGTAAGTTCCTTAAGAAATGAATGTGATTGACATTGCCTCCTGTATCTCTAACTTTTAAGACTCCTTAAGGTGAAACCCTTTCTGTCACACCAAGACCTGGAGAAAGCGATTCATGCATTTATTAGTTCTCGGTTTGACTACTGCAACGCTCTCTACTCTGGCCTCCCACAGTCGTCACTCCAACAGTTACAGTTTGTGCAGAATGCAGCTGCTTGTCTTCTCTCTGGTTCATCCAGGCAAAGCCACATCACTCCCATCCTCTCCTCCCTGCACTGGCACCCAGTCCATTTTCGGATGATTTTAAAGTTTTAACACTTGTTTTTAAAGCCCTAATGGTTTCGATCTGCTACACTAGAAAAACGATGTAGAAATAAGTAAGAATGTATTTACCCCTAATTTAAATAGGTACATGAGATAGTTTGCCAATGGGATGAGCGTTTTCACTCTTAGAATAAGATAATTAGACAATATGCACTTGAAATAAGACAATGCAATTGTTTTTCTTATTTTAAAGCTACAGTGTGTAATAATTACAGGGATATACAGTCAGAAATGAAATATATTATACATAACTATGTTATTTATCATCATCTACAAGCTCAGCCTCTTATCCTTAATATTTGCGTTGCCTTAGAATTCTTTATTTATAATTACATAGGAGCGGGTCTCGCAGCCATGGAGGCAGACATCTTTGCGCTACGGCAGCGCAGAGCCAACAAACTAGTGATTGCGAGATGCCAAAACCTCACAACGATGTAGAAAAAATAACGGGTATATTTATTATCTTAAGTCTACATGAAATCTATACCCTACACAGACTAATGAAATACTATCTGTAAAATTATCTATGTAAACAAACCTCATCACTTGAGAAGGTAGGTGATGCGGACGTCGTGGAAGACATTTTGTCCTGTAACGCTCGCCATACTGTTGGGGGGGAGAAGCGGTGGGGGAGATGTTCATGTTGCTGCAGTCTGCAGTCTGACCGCTAGATGTCGCTAAAAGTTACACACTGTAGCTTTAAATGTAAATTGTCCCGTTCCACTGGCAAAACGTCTCACTTTCCTCCTCAATTCAAGAAAAAAATGCACTTATTTATGACTTACTTAGACTTCAATTTTTTGCAGTGTATATTTAACTGAGATGTTGAGCGTACATCGCCCCAGCAGAGCTCTTCGGTCTGTTTACCAAATGGTTCTGGACGTCCCAAGGTCCCGGTATACACAGTGGGGCGATCGTTCCTTTGTGGTTTCCGCAGCTAAACTGTGGAAAAACCTGCCCCTCGGTCTGCGGGTTCTCACTGATCTGCACCTCTTTAAGTCCAGATTAAAGACTCATTTTTTTTAAACTGACTTTTAACACTTGGGAAAAATTGTTTTCTGCTTATGATTATTATTTTTTTGCAATGTTTTTATCTTTCTGTGAAGCGCTTTGGTCTTCCTGGTGTTGTTGTAAAGTGCTATATAAGTAAACTTTGATTTGAGTGTTGAGTATCCAAACAGCTTTGTGTTTAAGGTTCACAAACAGGGTACATGTATTTATGGAATTAAAACACTAAATTCTGAGAAATTCTCACACATAGCTGTCTGAAAGTGCCGATGGAAGAAGTGACACTGGACACTAGCCAATTAAACAACTTGAAACAGAGCCCAGAGGATCGTCAGGCAGACTCGGCTTATTGCTAGAGGCTTCAATAAGCTGTAGCTGGGCGAACAGTAAGTTCCTACCATTCTCAGACCAGGTAGCTCTGACGTATGTTCTGGACTTTGACATCTCTCCTATGAGGCACGCATAGCCGATCTGTAACTGTGACACCTGTGAGTCATTTTTTTATGTCTCCATCACCAGCTCTCTTAAAGCACAGAAAGATGAGCTGCTACTTAAGCAGGGTTGGTAAGAAAAACTTGTTGATAGACAGACTTAGACAAATGTATTGTCATTTTATATACACAGAGTTTAAACAAAACAAAATTTCGATGCATACAGCTTTTCAGGAGTGAATGAGCAGCTTACGGCAGTGAAATTCACATTTCCATTTATAAAGTGCGATAGTGATCAGAAAAAGATGGTGCAAATGCAGTAGAAACATTGAGTTCAGATCTATTTAAAGAGATTTGAAATTCGCCATATAGTGCAAATATGATGTTTACAAGTGTCATGCAGAGTCTCATTGTGTAACTTGATTAGAGTTTCAACAGTCTGATGGCAGCGGGGAAAAAGCTGTTGCAGAATCTACAGGTCCTGCATCAAATGCTGCGAAGCCTCTTCCCAGAGGGCAGCGGCGAGAACGGTCCATGGTAGGCTTGTCCCGATCCGATCTACGTATCGGATCCGATCCACGTATCGGATCGGGACGCCGATATTGGCAAAAAAATGTGTATCGGCAAAGCATGTTAAATGCCGATCCAGTTTTTAAATAAAAAATCCAGTCCGTATTTTCCAGTTTCGCCGATTGAAACGATCCATTCCACTATTTTGCGCCAGTGTTTCCCTGTTTTGCATTTTTATTAAAACTTACAGTAATACTTGCACCTTTAACTGTTTACGGTTTTACTGTTCACTGTGCAATTTCAGATTGCTATTCATAATTTTGTCCAGTTTGTGTTTATCTCTTAATAAACAGGTAAGTTTGTTGTTACCAATCATTGTGTTTTATTCAATCTCACCTAATTTAGCTGGCTAGATGTTATCAAGAGTACTAAAACCCTTTTCAACATGAGTCTTACAACTAAGGCTAAATACTTTAACTTAAACTTAAATACATGCTCGGATAGGCTGGTATCGGCCAGTATCGGTATCGGATCGGAAGTCCAAAAATAATATCGGTATCGGATCGGAAGTGCAAAAACCTGGATCGGGACATTTCTAGTCCATGGTGGGGGTGTGAGGGGTCATTGATGATTTTACGGGCTTTGGACATGCAGTGCTGGGATCAAATGCCTTTAATGGAAGGAAGAGGAGCCCAGATGATCCTCTCTGCTGTTCTCACCACTCTCCTCACCTTCTTCCAGACTGAGGCTCTGCAGCCTCTGCACCACACAGTGAGACAGCTGGTCAGAACGCTCTCTATAGTGCTTCTTTAGAAGTTGTGAGGATGGGTGGAAGCAGGTGGACTCTCTTCATCCTCCTCATGAAGTTCATGGGCTTCTGTGACTTTTTTGACCAGTGAAGGGGTGTTCATAGTCCAGGTGAGGTTGTCTGTGATGTGCAACCCCAAGTGAGAGAAGGGAGGGAGTAGTTAAGTCCTGGTGAGCAGGTAAGATCTGTGGTTCACCGAGGATGACTTGGGTTCCAGAGAAGAAGGAAGTTCCAGAAAGAACTTGACATTTTAGAGCGGGAGAGACTGGTGGAGCTGAGGCATCAAGCTGCAATCGACTGTTTAGAGTCGGGGCCCTCCTTAAGGAAACCAAGAGAAGTTTAAGAGCTTTCAGTGCAATCATTTAGCAAGAAATGAATGTTCCACCACTCTTTAAAAAAATCAACTTCCATTAAGCCTGACGTACGAAAAGTCTGGCAAAAACGCTGGCATACGTTGAATAAGTTAAGGGTCAGTTTTGAAGTTATGAGCTTGCTTAAGCATTTTGGCACACATTGACATACGGTAAGCAAATCGAGTATGCCAGTGTATGCTCATACGTGGGCCATAAGTTACAGGTAAGTTATTTGATCATTGATCGTTGTGATCGTAAATTGTTAGTTACTAATAAGTCGTGGCGACTAGCTTATCCAAAAACTTTGAGTAACTTCATTGGGTTTAGTGGGCTTTTAGAGGGGCTTTACGAGATTGTCAACTACAACGGTTCAGTAACCTTAGAGAGAAGTAGCTCACCAGTAAGATCTTTTGTGGATACAAGAATTCATACAGGAGAAGTGAGCACACACACCAGAATCCAAACATTTGTCTTTTCAGCACTATCAAAAAAAGGACATAATAAAACAACAACAAAAGAGCCAGACCATGTGTCCTGTAGAATTCAATTAAGAATCTAGAGAAGTGGTTCCCACACTTTTTCCTCCTTTTTCTCTGCTGAAAGTTGACATAGTCTCGAGTCTAACATACCTTCCTCTAACAAGCTTTGTTTGTCTCTCCTAAAGAACAGCATCTTAACAAAGCAATTCTGCAGTCACCATGTTTCCAAATGGGTGTTCTGTGTTTTGAGTGATGAAGTGTGTTCTGCTGCAAAAGAGGTCAAGTTTGGTCTCACCTGACCACAGCATCTGCTTGTACATGTCTGCTGGGTTTTTTACAGGGTTAACTGTAATCTACAAGCAAGACTAATAGCTTTCCTTTAACAGTGGCTTACTTCTTGCTGATCTGTTGGAATGTGTTGGAGAGTACAAATCATTATCCTGTTAAACACTTGTAAAATGTCTAAGTTGTTTTTTTCCTCATCTTAGCGATAACAATCGAATTCAGTTTGATTAGGCTTTAGTGCTTATAATCTGACAAGAAATAGAAAACTTAAATTTTTTATAACACTTTCGAAACATTGCCACAGATTGAGTAGCATGTGCTCTAGGAGTTTGTGATGATTTTGTATCTCCTCTAAATTTAGATGCTACATCACTTTGACTCAGTCCCTCCACCTGACCATGAGTGGAGCACCAGCTGGGCCTGCAGGCACAGGGAAGACAGAGACGACCAAAGACTTGGGACGAGCCCTCGGCATCATGGTGTACGTGTTCAACTGCTCCGAGCAGATGGACTACAAGGTTAGCAAACACAAACCGAGGATTTGCATCCCTGTCTGTGCATATTCTTCAGCTAATGTGCATTCACAGGAGATAACATTATGGATGTTGCTTTTCATCCTAGTTAACACCCTTTTCTTTTCATCTCTTTTTTTTTTTTTTCCCAACTTCAGCTTGCTTACTTCTTTGAGGAGGGGCTCATTAATTTGAACCATAGTGGGATTTATTTGATCAACTCTAAAACAAAAAGCTTGCATCCTTTGGTCTCCTGCTTTTGTTATGCCTTTAATGTGCCGTTACTCACACCCAGCACAGATTGAGCGGTTAGGGAAGACACATATGCTCCAGCCTCCCTCAGATGGGGGTATCATAACAGTGCAGGGGCATATATAACCCCAAGCTGTACATTGCACAGCAGGGTGTCAGTAGAGAGAAGTGCTAATGTAGTCTAGGAAGACAACATGCACTAGAAGCTGGCCTGAGAGCCTCAAACTGTTTGTCATTTTTAGTTATTCAAAGACTCACAGCAGGTAGATTAGTCCTCCGGTCAGCTCAGGTTTGCATCAAAAGGTTAGCCTGGCTCTGTAATCAAAGACAACAGTGAGCTGCATGCTTCTTCTAAATCCAGCTGTTCTCTGGAGGGTTGTTCACTCGCTCTCACGCAAAAAATCAGAGGTAGAATAAAATGGGAATGGTAGACATTGTACTTATCTGTTTTTGCCTTCAGCTCGTGGTGTTATTGATGTGAACTTATCTTTATGGCTTAGCCTGGCTTTTATGCTGCGTGTAGTTACATTGATATGAATGATAAGTGTGCCTCTGTCCACTTCACCAAAGGTCTCATCAGTCAAATGTCTGGCATAAAAAATTGGAGGTTCCATATTGAGATGAAGGCTTAATTGATCTATTTTTGGTTTAAGTAAAAAAAAAAATGAAATGCTAAGGAAATGTACTTAATTAGGAAAATTTGATAAAATAAATTTATAATATAAAGCTTTACTTTAATACTAATTGGTTCATGGTTATTCAGCTTACAAAATCAACAAGAATAGCAGAGAAAAATTCCATAAAGTTATCATTCCGTCACAAACCGGGGAGGCAACAGCATCCTTGTTTTTGGCTCAGCACTGGTGAAATTTTTTTGTTGAGTTCTATGTAACCTGTTTCTCCCAAGCCTGTCAGGACCCTGTAGACATTTAAAATGGCCGCCTTGACCTAGGCACTGATAGAGTGGACAGACCTAACAATCCTCCCACTTTCAATGACAGAAAGCCTCAGTTCTGCCTTTGCTTTTAGGGGATCTTAAAACTTCTGTCAAGAGCTGCACTGAAAGGGAACTTTGACATGTGGACAGGAGAGGACTGAAATAAAAACCCCAGATTTCAGATTATAAACAAATCTACCCTCTCAGCAACAATTCCCCCAGTCAGTTCATGAAGAGTTTCACGTTTGTTTAAAATAACTTCACTTCTCTCTTTGTTATATCCACTGCTCCTCGTTCGTCTTAAAGCATTTTGAAGCTCAGCTTTTATCATACTGTAGATTCCAATGATGGATGGATGGATGGATGGATGGATGGATGGATGGATGGATGGATGGATGGATATTGCATGGATGGATGGATGGATGGACGGATGGATGGATGGATATTGAATGGATGGATGGATGGACGGATGGATGGATGGATAGTGCATGAATGGATGGATGGATATTGCATGGATGGATGGATGGATGGATAGTGCATGGATGGATGGATGGATAGTGCATGAATGGATGGATGGATATTGCATGGATGGATGGATGGATGGATAGTGCATGAATGGATGGATGGATATTGCATGGATGGATGGATGGATGGATAGTGCATGGATGGATGGATGGATGGATAGTGCATGAATGGATGGATGGATATTGCATGGATGGATGGATGGATGGTGCATGGATGGATGGATGGATGGATATTGCATGGATGGATGGATGGATGGATGGATGGATGGATGGATGGATGGATTGATGGATGGATGGAATGTGCATGAATGTATGGATGGCGCGTGAATGCATGAATGGATGGATGGATATTGCATGGATGGATGGATGGATTCATATTTCATCAGTTTTCAGCTAAAAGCTAAAATAAACTCCAGTTTGACATGGTTTTTCTTGCTACTCCTTCTTGGCCATTTAATTGGATCATATCTTGGATGGCTCATTTGCAATAGATGCTTTTTGCTTTGAATGGTTTGTAGTTTTCACTAGAACAGACCTACATTACAACCCTGTGTTCAATGTCCATGTCTCTATTTTGAAACTTAAAAATAAAATCCTATTTTAGTCTTCCTCAATAATGCTTTTTTTTTTCTTCACCACATCGAAACACTGTCTAATATTTCATACGAGTCTTTGAATGTCTTAATCGCTCAACTAACATGTCCATCTTCCTCATGTCTCTACCTCTCCACCAGTCGTGTGGGAACATCTTCAAAGGCTTGGCTCAGACAGGAGCATGGGGCTGCTTTGACGAGTTTAACAGAATTTCTGTGGAGGTGCTGTCTGTTGTAGCTGTACAGGTAAGAACAACACTCCCTTATTTAACCTTTGGTTACCCCTAAGTGGAATAAAAACAAAAAAAAAAAAACAATATTTTTTGGAGTTTGGTCAAATTCACATGCAAATATAAGTACATAGGTGTATATATACATATCTTTATATAGTGCTGAATACAGGATGATCTCGAAGTACAGCTTTTAAGGCTGCACAATATTTTACATTCAGCTGACGAATTACATTCCAGAGGAACAATGACTGTTAATGTATGGCTAGAACATTAAAAAACCCATACTGTATCAAAATGGCTTCGTCAAAGTCTAGCTCTAAAATGAAATGCAAATCTGTAGCTTTACTTAAAGGCCGATTTTTCCTAATCACATTAATTCAATCTGACTTAGTGTGAGTCTGTAAGACTAATGAGCAAACATCTTATTCTCTAGATGGAAGGTAAATAAATACCTTGAAATGCTCACTTCCCATTACACCTGCTGATAGGAGGTTTAAAAAAGCGTTTACTCAGGGGGGGCTGAACAGAAGCACACTCCATGCTTTTAGATATTTATTTGGAAAATTTAACACAGCTAATGTTAGAAGGGGTTTTATTTTGTTAAACACAAAATGCCACAAATGACTTGTATAATATAAATTCTTAGCCAGAGTGCTTTTCTGGATGACCTCCAGTTCCTGGCATTTTGATAATGGGATGTTATCAAATCAGCCATATTCTGCGTTTCAGCTGAAGTTGGCATCTCTGCTATCTTGTATCAATCAGATGGTCCTTGTGCCTTAATGATGTTCTCTGGTGTTATCAAATCCTGTGCGCAGTTACCTTTGACACTATCTCTAAATATGCGGAGCACTGTCATAGTAAACACTACAATTGATAGCAATGTTGATTGTGATTATAATGATAGTGGAAATAATGGAGATAGCTTCCTGAAGCATTGTTATTCACTGCCAGACCCAACCTTACTTCTTTACCCTTCTCTTCATCTCTCTTAAGCAGAGATGAAAGTCAAGCAGTCTTTCTCCATAAGCCGGGGAAGTCCACGGTACTTAGAGAATTCTAAAGTGCCAGAAGAATGAATGGGTGTTGCAAGGTGCAATAAATAATAAATCACGTCGGCTGAGACGTGGAAGAGCAGACCTTGAGAACAGAGCAGCATCAAATTCCTGCTGTGACAGCTGGAGGCCCACTCCAGCACTTAGCCTTCCTCAGTGGAGCCAACACAAAGCCATTTCTCCTCTGCAAGCACACACCTAATCCATCGTCTGAAAACGGGGGCGGTGAGCATCACACAGGGCCACAGTCAGCTGCTGCTCAGGATAACTGGAACAGGTGGTGGGGCCGCTTTGACATCAAACCAACGCAGCAAACAGAAGGTAGCCAGACATAACTGCATAAAGATAAATGGAAGGGGTTCTGCCTCTTTAACAATCTACACTTCCGCAGATTGCTAATAGTGACTTAGAATGTAACCAAGTAGTCATAACATTGAGATGGTGGGATGTATTAGGCAGAAAGATAACATTTTCAGTCAACGAAGCAGCAAATAAGCCAGTGAAAGGGGTTTGGGAAGCTTGATAAGGGTTAAACAGTGATGGCTTTTATACTTAGTTAAAGCATCTCCTAACCACTGCTTATGTAAAAAGAGTTCAGATGCAGTTCATAGAAGGTAAATTATCAATGCACTGGAAAATATGACTGATCCAACAGATGAGCCACTGTAGCATTAAATGCTGGTAAAATTTTACAAGGCAAAACAATCTAATGGATATGTAGCTACATAAAGAAGGTTGGGCATTCACACTTATCCTAGTCAACTGCTAAAAGTGCAGCAGTGAGAATATGAGTGTAGACCATTGAGCAATAAAGGAACATAATTTGTTCATGTAGATCACCTTCTCATTTTCACTAGATGGACAGGTGTGTCGCCCAGAGAGCTTACGGCACAATATGCACTAGTGAAGACAAAAAGCAGGCAGAGGCGGTGTAATGATTTTGGGCTGTGTCTAAATGTCCGCCCTTATCACCATATAGGGCAGTAAATAGTAGTAACGCTATTTTTAATGAGTGTCTTGAGTGGATAAAAAAGTAGTGGACTCGAAATATTCCACAGTGCACCTTGAAAAGTAGAGTGCAACCATGGTAACTACTGTAGATGTGCAAATAAATCGAGGAATGCCTTGCGTGGAGAGCTCTCCTCGCAAAGCATAATGGGATTTGCTGTCACAGTGGACCGCTGTTGCTACCCAATAGTGGCGACCAATACCAATGTTGGCGCAGCCAGCGTCCAGTGGAAGCGGATTTACGTGACCAACAGCCAGTAAAAAGTGGTGATCATCTTGCTGAACGGTCAGTTAACTAAGTTCACTATAAAGTCCACTATATATTCCCCGCTCTATATAGTGATGGAGGGATTTAGGGGTTAGGGCGGACGTTCAAACACAGCCTTGGACAATGTTCTTGTTGCAAACCATGGTGCCGCTGCCCACCCGGATGTCTTCCAGCATTTTAATGGACTCGCCCACAAAACAAAATGCATTTTGGGGTGAAAGACATTGAGTCTGAAGTGTTGCGTTTCCCTGATGATGACCCTAACCAGATCTATCTGCCAGCTTATAGGACCTACTGCAAAGAGTCTGCTAACCTCTTGTTAGGATAATTAACATTGACGATGTGTGAGTTTATTACACCTTAATATGACCTGCCTGTTGCATGTCAGAACTCATGTTTTTACCAGTAGTTTATCTTATTAGGCCAGTTCCTTAGTCTGGCTATATACAGTTATAATACTAATTCTGTATGTGGCAAAGATTTGGGAATGAAATGAGAGCGGTGTCCTTCAGCTAAGAACAAAGTGTAATATTTTGATAAGGCTGGAGCCATGGATGATGTAATGATGAGATGATGTGGCAGACTGAAGTAAAAAAATGCCTCTCTACATGTTTGTCAGGGCGGGCTGGTAAGCAGGTGCCTTCTGTAACCCTAAGCAGCTTCAATTCAATTCAGTTTATTTCTATAGTGCCAATTCACAACACGTCATCTCAAGGAACTTTACAGTTCACTAGATCATACAGTCAAATTGATTCAAAGTTTTCTATCTAAGGAAAACCAGTTGATTGCATCAACTCATTGACTCGGATGCAATCCCTCACACTAAGCATGCTTGTAGCGACAGTGGAGAGGAAAAACTCCCTTTTAACGAGAAGAAACCTCCAGCACAACCAGGCTCAGTGTGAGCGGCCAACTGTGATTCAAGGAGATAGAAGCAGGGATACAAAAGGCAACTGTAAAAGGCGGCCCGGTCCAGGAAACACACAGCCAAGCAGACGAGCTCCAAGCCAGCTCACATGGCAGGGAAAGAAGAGAGCACATCTAGCCAGTCACAGTCAGAGAAACAGGACTACACTGGAAAACAGGCCGATCTCAAACATCTAACTTCTGTGATCTGAGTAAGATTACAATTTCTATCAAAATCTGTTGCCATCTCTCATGGTTATTTATTACATATACGTTATAACGTGTTATTTAAAGGGAAAGAGAGAAAGTTTTAAGATATAGACACAGAGAGCTTTACTTGTAACACTCTTGATGCCAAGGTTAAGAGTATACCTTTGAGTTGATAAATTCACAGGTCAGGGATGTATTTCTGGCTAGAAAAGAGGGCACAACGCACCATTATGAAGCATTAAGGTCAAAGAACTTAAAACTGAAGTTCACACACTCGAGTCTGTTCAACTTTTTGACAATGTTTTTCTTTTTGTATTTTCGTTTTTTTTACCTCTGTAGGATTCCTGCCCTGTCATTCTAAAACAATGTCTAAAAACACAAACGTTTTGCTTGTGTGTGGGTGTTCTCACATGTGTGTACAGTGTGGCGCAGCTGTCCTGTTTGTTGTAGCCCCCTCCTGCCTCTCTCTCTCTGCAGTGTTGGTGTGACTGAACGATCTGTTGTCGACTACTCATCCATGCAGAGATGTTCCTTCTCTTTCCAGCTGTCGACTCGCTATGCTCTTTAACCCGTCGCATGTTAAATTCATAAGCAGGGATTCACAGTTTTAGGCCAGAACACCGAGAAAGTTCACCCTGATAAGTCATTTAGTCATGATGTAGATGCACTGAGAGCCTTGGGAGCTCATCCATCCAGTAAACCCTGCTTGATTGCTTCCTCATATTCATGATAAAATTTAGTCCATTTATAAAAAGAAGGTGCATGCAGCATAACAGTTAGACAGGCTGTCACAAACGGACTGTGGGGAATACTGATATTAATGTAATGCTAATAAGTGGGAACTGAGAGTTTTGGTTTGCTGCGTTTAAATAGTATTTTATTTCAGTCAGGATGTGAGCTGCTTCCATACTAAATTAGTATTACCAGATAGGTTATATATATATATTCATTATATAAATTGCTTTCATTGCAAATATTCCTGACAAATGTTTAATTTCCCACGGTGATTTTTGCTCAAGGTTGTGGCTCCTCCTCATCTTTTGCAGATGTTGTTGAGAGCCTTAAATCCAGGATCAGATTGAAGGTGTTAACTAAGAGGGCTGAGGGGCAATCTATTATTACGGCTGGTTTAGCTGAATGAAAGTGGAAATGCAACACTTTCAATGCTTCCCAAAAGTAATAAGCTTCTACTGAAACCTTTTTATAAAAATGTCTTTTAGTAGGATTTTATGTAATAATACAGCACAGTAATGTGTACAGTGCTTTATTATCAAGAGTCAAAAGGAATTCCTATATATATATATATATCTCCTCCTACTATTTGATTACTGTACTCATTTATTTAGCCCCAGAACTGGTTTCAACACCTGTCAGTTTTCATCCACTCCTCAATGAACATTGTTCCCCTTTGGCTCGCCTTCTTTTTTGTCCATCCGGAAGACAAATTTACCTTTTCAATGTTTTTTTTTTGTTTGTTTTGTTGTTTTTGATTTTTTGATTGATTATATATTATACTTGGTCAAAAACTGTTAAATATTATTAGGTTTAGGACTTTGACTTGACTTGGATTTCAGGGCTAATACTTGGAGCTTGACTGGGAAGTCTAAAGAACTCCTTTAATAATGACATTTGGGAACCATTACTAGCAGGTTTAAAGAAACACATGCAATACCATCAGTGGTGTCAAAAGTACATGGGTTTGTTACTTAAGTAGAAGTATAGATACTGCAGTTTAAAAACACTCTGGTAAAAGTATGAACTTGACCTTGTCCTTTAGCTAACCAATGATTGTTTGCGTTATATGACTCATCAATTACACTAGTTTTCACTAGATGTGGATGGCGCCAATGATCTGCATTGGATGGCGCACATAACGTGAAATAAATATTTAAAAACAGTAAACCAGGGGTAACCAATTAAAAATCAGCGGGGTCCAAATGAAGAAAATCATCAACCAGTAAAGGTCCGGAGACATTTTTATTGAAATAAAATGAGGTGTTTATGCATTCATGTTATACATTGAATTTTTTTAAGAGAAAAATACAAAAAAAAAAATAGAAATTTTTTCCATTTTAAAATCTAGTTTTTTTTTGAAGTAGAGAACAACAATCAAAGATTTCCTGATTCACATATTTTTTAAAACACCTGAACTGACCGGTTTTTTTTTTTTTTTTTTTTTTTTTAGGCTTAATGAGAGCAGTGGGCTTTATTCTGCCTTGCAAGGCTTATAAACCCGGGTTTGAATGGAGACTAAGCCATTCTAAAGCACATATCAAGGTCGTCATTTTGAGCCTGGATCCATATTTATTTTTCATTCTGTTAATGGTGGAGAATCCTGCTTCACAGCAGCAGGTTAAGCCAAACATACTCAAAATGTTCAGGCTCCGCTCCGGTCTGGTCAGGTCAAGATTCGTTATTTATTCGTTACAATCAATTTTTGTCTTAGTTTAACAGAATAATTTCAGTAAATAGTTTCAGAATTTTCAGAAAAACTTACAGAAAGTCAGTTTAAAGCCTGTTTTGTGGTAATATGACAAAGCACCGTATAAGAGTCCTCAGCATATCTCATAAAGTAGTCAATTACCACAAAGCAACTTTGAAAGTAACTTGTAGGTGACCAGGAAAAGGGAACCATAAACGTATCCCTATTATTATTATTTTATCAACAAACCCATAGTAGCAGCCTTTGGTCTCTGGAATTGTCTGATATGTTTTCCTGCAATATATGCAAGTAAAACTCCTTAGTCCCTCCCATGTTTACGAGCTTCCCTACTACACGACGAGCTGATCAGTGCTTACAAAAACCAAGGAGTTAATATTGATCACTAAAGGAGCCACACTAGACTAGAATAAGCCAAGGGGCAGAGCTGCCTCTGCTCCCTTAACAGCAGGAGTTTTCTCACTGAATGTGATGACATGCTGCAAACGTTTAATCACAGTTTGTAGCTAGTGGTGATGCTTTATGTTACTGTGTTCGGAGTCTTCATCTCATGGATAAAAAATAGCAAATAGCTGGAAAAGGTAGTAAAAAAATCCAGTTTGGTTCTCTGCAGGAAACAGGAAACTGCAAAATGAGTCCAGTTAGAGACACATTGAGTAAGCTGGAATTGATCTGCACAGCCCCCTGGGTAGATAGAGGAACAGCATTGCTATAAAATTCCTTCACTTTTAAAACAGCAGTGTTTTCCATCTCCACCTCAGTATATCCCTCAGGATTTTGAAAAAGTATTTACTCCCTTGCAGATGTCTTCTGTTTTCAGTGGGTAATTTCTCAGATCATCAGATTTATTTGCTAGTTACAGTAAATAAATATTTTATTGAAAGGAAAAACCTTATACTGCATATGAAATATAATTACCTGCCTTACTGAATCATGTATACATATTTTTGGTAAAATTTTATTGTTATTTAAAAGTTTATCACAAAAAGGCAAAATACATGAAAGCTTTCCATACAGTTTAGATAGAATCTATTGTGTAAGTGGGACACACTTAAAGCGGTTTCAATAATGTCTGTCATATAGAACTGAATATTACAAGACAAATTAGGCTAAAGATAGCTGAAAAATTGGCACATCTTGTCCAAAGCTCAATAAATCAAAAAGCAGATAGTTAACAAGGTCATTGAGATTCATCAGCCAACCTCAGTGAGAGTCATTATCCACAAAAAGAGAAATCCTGGAATAATGAGGGGTTAAGACAGCATTGGCAACTCATTCTGGATATCACTCCTAAAATAACATCTAATACAATGAATACCTAACTTACCTCAGTGATGGTCAAGGTTTCAAATATATCATTGGATGGGTAAAAATTAGTGTTGACCCAATTTAATGTCTCACATTTGCCAAAAAAATGTATCCTTATTATCTCAGAGACTTCTGGGAAATATTATGCGGACTGGCGAGACAAATGTTACTTTGTTGAAGGTTCTGGGTCCATTTAAACTAAGAAAACTTTTAAAAAGGGCCTTATACTTACAGTGAAAAACACAACAGGGGTAAACTAGTGTTTATCCTGTTTTGCTTGTTCTGATTGCCAACCATGGATTTCCCATCAAAGGGGTTCAAAAAAAGTGTCCTGCAATCGTCAGCTTATCAGTGGAAGCTACTTTTCAACATATGACCAGATTTTTTGGATAGATTTTTGCATTTAAAAATATCTATATTTCTGATATTAAAAATTGTTTGACTTTCTGATGGATCTTGCTACATTTCTCCAGTGAGCTGCCACCTAATTCACAGTCATCCGCTTGCAGGTGGGGCTGATCAGTTTTACATATAAAACATAAGAAAGACTTCCCTGCACACACTCACCATCTCATCTTGCAACAGTAAATGTAGTGAGGACCATTTGTTGACTCTCATTGACTTCCATAAATTTTCTGTCATTTTCAGCCCTTAACCCTAAAAATAAAACTAAACATAACCATTAGAAATAAAAATAGAGAATCCCTTTATTGTCCTGCAATGGGGAAATTGTGGCATTACAGCAGAAGTGCTCACACAAATGTGGACCTTAAAAAGTGTACAAAAATAACAGAATAAGTGACAGATAAAAAAAAAAAAAATATATATATATATATATATATATATATATATATATATATATATACAGTATATATATATATATATAAAAGAACAAATAAATACTGTACAGTGTTTTTGCAAATATAAATACTGTGTATATGAAGAAAAGCTGTGGAATTTTACCATTACCCGTGAATACCTCACCGGCCTTGAACCCACCCATTACCAATATAGGTCATGAGGTCCAGCCAAAATTGTCAGGTTGGGTGGTGATGGATTCACCAATCCCATAGAGCAAAAAACTGTATCGGTGCATGTGTCGTTTCAAGAAAGTCATGTGACGGATACAGGAGTTGTTTCTAAAAGACTGATTCACTAAACTGTCTTTAAAATTGTATCTGTCAAGATGATGATTCTGTTAAAAAAAAAAGTATCTCATCTTTTGCGGTTTATCATTAAAATGATCAAGAAGTTTGGAGCAGCCTAAAAGAAATAAGAACGTTTCAGCCGTTACGTTTTTATTTTAATTTTATCGTTGGGTCATAGTTTTCCGCTCAGTTATCACTCAACTTATCTGAATTAAAGGTAATTTCAAATTGACTCTTAGTTTATTTACTGTTTTTAGTTTACTTATTATTTTAAAATTATGATTTAAAAACCTAGTCCACAAGCATCCTCATCTACATTTTCCTAAATTTTCACGTTACCATATGTTTACATTATTTATTGGCTGCATCTAAAAATATCAAAGGTATTTTCAGTTTAAACATAGATATGAAATAACATAATATAACCTACAATAACATCAATTATATCAGTGAACTTGGTCATCAAATCCATTCGATTTAGTCTGTAAAATAAGCTGCCTGTAGTGTCTTTAAAGGTCCAGCAGGTGTCAGTATTCTGTGAGACAGTATCAAAGCAGTATCAATACGGTTTCTTGCAGATTTAATTATCCAAAAACGTAAATCCTCAGAATCCACAAAAATACAGAAAATAATAAAAAACTCACTTGAATGGGAAGAAAATGACGACAAACCAGCAACAGTGGCTAAGTAGGAGGTGTATATATGGGAGAGAGAAACGAAGACCAGGCTAATCAGCAGATTGGGAGCAGGTGTGAACAAAGGAGTCTAGAAGGGAGCTAGTGAAAAGGAGACTGACACACGAGTTCAATAGAGAACAAACAAGAAATACCTAAGAACTCAAATACAATCAAAAATAACTAGAATAACACAAAATGGGAATAAAACCAATGAAAACTCAAAGATAAAACTTAAAAAGAACCAAACCGAGACAAAAATGCCCTCAGTTTGTTAAAAATGTCCTCACTCCAATTGCTAAAAACTGGAAATGGTCCTCATTCTTATTCTAAAACAGGAGCACACACGCATAAAAAAACCACATCCTCTCACAACTTAAGTCAACTACAACATTTAGTAATACCTGGATTGGTATGTGAAATCTCAGGTAGACAAACCTTACCCAGAGAATGTCCAGGTTAAATTTTAACAACAAAAAAAACCTCAAAAATCACCTCTTTTTTTATATTTTTCCATCTCACCTGAAATATTACAAATGGTATCGATGGAAGTTTTTGAACATGAAAAAATACTTAACTTTGCTCTTTTCATTGTATCCAGGTTAAAAGCATCCAAGATGCCATCCGTTATAAGAAGCAACGCTTTAACTTCATGGGAGAGGAGGTCAATCTTTGTCCTTCTGTGGGGATCTTCATCACCATGAATCCTGGTTACGCTGGAAGAACAGAGCTTCCGGAGAACCTTAAAGCTCTTTTCCGGTAAGTCTAAGCAAAACCTAGTTTCCCCTGGTTGTCTATGGATGAACATTTTTATATTCATAGATGTTGAAATATAACTGAGAAGCTTAAAAAGGTTTCTCTTTTCACATGTCTTAACAGGCCTTGTGCCATGGTGGTGCCAGACTTTGAGCTCATCTGTGAAATTATGTTGGTGGCTGAAGGCTTTGTCAACGCCCGGATCCTGGCCAGGAAGTTTATTACCCTCTACACTCTGTGCAAAGAGCTGCTGTCCAAGCAGGTAGTACCTTATCCTTTAAGACGGTGGTTTTCAACAGGGGGTCCGCGACCCCTAGGGGGTCCACAGAGGTACTGCATGTGGGTCGCAAAAGTTTTGATTGATTAGACTTTTTTTTTATATATTCCCCATGCAATTTTTTTTCCACTAATTGAAATGTCTTTAAATACACATTAACTTGAATTTATTGGTGTCTTTCAGTCATCAATGCCACATTCAGCGACACACAGGAGCTCTTTCAATCTGGGCACCATTTCATTCACAACACCTGTCCCACCAACCAGGAATAATAATCAGAAATACTTTAATAATTCCAGGGAGAACTTACTTTCATTAAATCTGTAATAGAGTGACTATAGGACCAGTTTTATATAACACAATTTCATACAATATATATAAAATTAGGGGGTCCCTGCTCCATCTCGCCATCAGTTTTTGGGGTCCTTGGCCTGGAAAATGTTGAAGATCCCAGCGGGTTTGGTTGGAAATATTTCGGTACCTTTTTCACCTTAAAGCTTAAAACTCAACACAGCTGTTGATTTTGGAAGGAAACCCTGTAAAAGAGCAATGACTCTGATGCAAAACATAACCTCCATCATCAATACCACATATATCACTTCTACTAATATTGTAGATTTACATGAGTAAGTAGCTCCTGCAGCTGTTCTTACATTTTTCTGCCTAGCCCTAACTTCAGCATTGGAATGGAAAGTACCTGGTTCAAAAAAATGTGGGTAAACCTTGTAATTCCAAATTAGTAAATATTCTACAGTCTTACATATTTAACCATGTTATATGTTCTTTTATAAGAGCTGGGAGCTCAATATCCATGATTACTTTTATGGCTGCTTCTGCTTAGCCACTCATCAGGCCTATTTAACGGTGGACCCTGGATTTAGTTTTTCCCATCAATCTTATTTAAATTAGCGTCAAAGAAAAAATAGGTCATGCTTGGTTAGCCTGTTTTATTTTTATTTAGTCCTAATTCTGCTTTCACTACTACTTTCCTGAAACAGACGTTTTTTCTTTTTATCTTTAATTTTTCAATCATATTTCCAAGTTGTTCTGGCAGAAGGCAAAGTTGTCCTTCATGTGACCTTTCAGCAAAGTTTATGTTTGTATGCAGGATAGAAGTACACTGGAAAAAATCGAAATCTAAATAAGTAATTTTTTCTTAAAATAAATGCAATTTTAAGGAGGTAAAAGAGTATTTTTGCCATTGGAACAAGAAAATCTACACTTAAAATAAGAAAACACAATTGCATTATCTTATTTCAACTGCATATTATCGAATTATCTTATTTTAAGTGCAAAAATACTCATTCCATTGGCAAACTATCTCAATTACCTACTCAAAATAAGGATAAATACACTTAATTTAAGAAATTTTTACTTATTTCTAGATCTTTTTCCAGTGTAACGGAACTAAGTTCAACGATATTTCCTCTGTAAACTCTATATAATACCACATCTACTTATCCTGCTAACTAGCAAAAATAAATTGTAAACAATACGAAAAAAAGTATCAGTTGAAATCTCCCCAGTTTGTTTCAAGATGCTTCAATTCAATATAACAATGTAGGATTTTAACAATCTGTTTTTTTTATATATATATATTTCTAATATATTTACTGATTAGTATACAGTATTCCATTTTTTATGTTTTCTACGAGGAAGAAAAAGGAGGGTAACAAGCTGAGCAGGGTACTGTAAGCTACCAACTATAGTTAAAGATATTAGATAGTTAAAATACAAGGGTTGGTGCTGCTTTAGTTTACATTCCACATATGTCTGTGCTTATTTCCAAAACCCTCTTGAAACAGCCAAATGTGACTTTCTTGCAAGCAAGGAAAGCCTTTTAACCTTCCTGCAGCTCACTAGTAGTGCACAGAAACAGGCGGGGGGAGTACTGCATTACATCATACTCTGATTATGCTCACTTGTTCTTTCTCAAAGGTAGAAACAGAATTTTAATAGCCTTTAACTGAAGAATGAATTAATTTTACCCAATTATTTTTTATAATTTAAAGTATATTAAGCTGTTAACTGGCCACACTAAAAATTCTGTAGAATTGTCTGAAAGACGTATAAAATAGATCAGCTGTGGCTCTTTAACCCTTTGGATGAGGCTGGAAGTTTGGAGGCACCACAAACGTCCCACGGATGCAAAGTGGTAGTTAATGTGCAGCACTTGGCACAAACCAATACTCAGTGGAAGCCACTCTTCTTAAAATCTCTCCAATGTAATTTTGAAGTTTGGATCTGTCACTGCATGAGTCATGTGATCCATAGCCTAATTTTACGGCACCCTGAGCTGTCTTTAAACACAAGAGTTAACTAAGCTAAAACTTGTATTTAGGCATCAACACAGGTATGAGACTTAACTTGATTTAACTCATTTTGGCTCTCTGATGTAGGATTTTAATTTGGCCTTATCCTTACACATAACTTCATTACTTCTCAATCTGCTGGTCTAAATGTCTCTCCTATCAGATTTTATAAAAGTTCAGTGTTGCAGGTGGCCTTCACGGGTGCTTAACCTGTAAGTTAAAGGTCAAGCGACCCTTGAATAAAAATTATAAAGTTTTGTATTAAAACATTTGTTTATCTTGATGCAAGGCACCAATCCACACATGCATCTGATTTCTCCTCGTAAACTTTTTTTTTTTCTGACTCTCCCTTCAGGATCACTATGACTGGGGCCTCCGAGCCATCAAGTCAGTGTTAGTGGTGGCTGGCTCTTTGAAAAGAGGAGACCCTGGGCGAGCTGAGGACCAAGTACTCATGCGAGCTCTGAGAGATTTTAACATTCCAAAGATCGTGACCGAGGACATGCCTGTTTTCATGGGCCTGATAGGAGACCTTTTTCCGTCTCTGGAAGTCCCAAGAAAGAGAGACCTAGACTTTGAAAAGCATGTAAAGCAGTCGCTTCTGGACCTGAAGTTGCAACCTGAGGAGAATTTCATTCTCAAGGTATGTACTTGAAACGGACATCAAGCTATATGCTGCAGGTGATTTCTTTTTAATTACAAGGAACTTCGACACTGAATCATATATAAAAGAAAATGTAATTAGATACTGTCTAAAATCTACAGAGTTGCCAAATGTAAGTTTCATCTTTAATAATTTTGACAGATATTACGGTTGCAGTGCTTTCATTTTGATTTATCCCGGCTCTCTCCAAAAGCCATTTTCCTCATGTCATAATGTTCCAGTGAGAAATACACATTAGTGTCAAACAAGACTGCAGCATCTGGATGAATTGGGCAAATATTGCAGAAAGCTGGTTGTTAGCGGCAGCGAGAGTTCAGGTGCCGGAGCTGACGACCTAATTTTAGTCATTATGTCACACGGGAAGCCAAATACACACACAAGCACCGGATCAGGCTATGTGTCAGAGACAGGACTACGCCAGACCAAGGGAAATAAGTGCAATTTGCCTCAGGTGAAACAGACACAGGAATCACGCAATAACACTCTATCAATGGAGGCTGGTGCTGCAACACGCCACTTAACCCTGACTCTGTGAGAGACAACATAGAAATAAACAGAGAGGAGGAGAAAATGAGTGAGGGAGGAAGTAGAGGATACGAGAGAAAATGGCAGACCGTTCAATACAAAACAAGCTTCCACCCTCAGAGCTTGAACTTTTCCCATCTTTGCTCGAATGCCCAACCTTTTGATTTCAGTCGAATCAGGAGAGAGCCAATGTCTTTAGCATTAGCCTGGTCTAGCATCAGGCTTCCTCAGATCAAAGCGCTAATCAGGCCAGGCCTTTGGGTTCGGGTTGAATGGAGGTGGAGTAGGAACCAGCTCGATGGTATTGATCGTTGTAGGCTATCTGTAGTTTTGAGGAAACTAAAAAAAAAATCTTTTCTCCTTTAGTTATTATGAATCTCCTGAAAATTAACTTTATCCTTGTTGGATGGGTGGTATTTTAGCTTAAAAAAACATTTTATTTTATTTTATTCTAGGAATCATTATATAATTGTATTAAACCACAGAATGTTGTTTGCCATCTAACTGACCTTACTGTAGATTGGCATATTTCTTTATTGATTTTTGCATGTAAGAAAAAGGGGAAAAGGGTCTTATTTTTGTTTCAACTGGCTTTTGAATGGAATTTCTATGAGAGGTGGAATTTCATTCAAGCAATAGGAAAACTAATATTGAGTTCCATATGTTTGGTGTCACCATCTTTGTATAGATCAGGCATGTCTAAGTTCAGTCCTTTAGGGCCGCTGTGCAGCAGTTTTTACAGTAGATGTGTCCGTGCTTCAGCACAGCTGATTCCCAGTAAAAGATTTGCTAAACTGCAACCATCAGAATCGGCTTTGCTGTAGCATTGAAACCCTGCTGGACGGCGGCCCTCAAGGATTGACTTTGGACATACCTGCTATAGTTGATTATTCCATGTCAGAAGATGAGTTCCCTTAAACAAAGATAATAATACTGGGATTTGCTGCAGGACAAGCCACAAAGTCATTATCTTCTCCTGAGTAAATGTTCTCCCAGCTTTTGTAACTGGCCCATCAATATGTGGTAGACTGCTTGCCCAAGCTGATAGTCTTTTTATTTCTCTCACATCTCGTGACAAGTTCTGACAACTTTTAGGGACAAGTATGGTGGGTTGTCTGGTTGCCTTCCATCTGTGTTGAACCAGTGTTGCACAGGTTCCTTCATTCGGATAAAGATGCAATAGACCACACCTTTTTAAAGGAACAATGACATAAAAAAGGCATTTAAAAACTTTCCATCTGATGTCAAATGAGTATTAAAAATCCTATTTAACCATTATAGAATTATACCTACTGTTGACCCTGCCTCATCCATCTACATAGCATTATCTGACTATTACACTTAATGTCAACTTGATTTTTACTATTCCATATTGATGTAAATAAACTGCATCCTTAACATATTTTTCTGACACTTCACTTATTGTCATTGAGTTTTATTGTATGAAATCTTGTAAGATTTTGGATAAGTCTTCCTTGTAAGTTTGTGTAATTAGCTCTTAGTCTTATAGCACATGTTAAATATAGTGTCTACACTAGTTATTGTAAGTTAAATATATCCAAGTTTATTATGTTAATACAGCAGGCCTAATTCAGTCAACTCCCTGTCAATGAGCGACTTTCCGGTACCACATGAATGGCACATTAATTATACAGTAATGTGAGTTTTGACATTTGATGTTTTTAGAAGTCCCCTGTTGTCAATTATTCTGCTTCATATACAAAAGTCTTTGTGCTGCACCTGACTGTGGCATTTTGCTAATTTATTATGCATGAAATGAGGAGATTAAGTAGAATGAACATCACTGTCTTAATGAAGCACTGGATTATTGTGGAAAATTATTCCTGGTAATAGGCATTCATCTTAATCCCTTCTCTGCCTGTATGTAAGGTAGTACAGCTCGAGGAACTGCTGGCGGTACGCCACTCTGTGTTTGTGATTGGCAATGCCGGCACGGGGAAGAGCCAGGTGATGAGATCGCTCCAGCGGACCTATCAGAACATGAAGCGGCGGCCCGTGTGGGCAGACCTCAATCCAAAGGCCGTGACCAATGATGAGCTCTTTGGGATCATCAACCCAGCAACCAGAGAGTGGAAAGACGGTGATTACTGCGTCCTTCAGAACAAGGATTTGATTAACACAAAGTGTTTAATGACGTGCCTCGAATAGCCTGCATCTGAACTCCTCTTCTCACAGGGCTCTTCTCCAGTATAATGCGTGAACTGGCCAACATTAGTCACAATGGGCCTAAGTGGATTGTTCTGGATGGAGACATTGATCCAATGTGGATTGAGTCACTCAACACAGTTATGGATGACAACAAGGTGTGAGAAACTACTGTGTGTTTTTAAAGGCTGAATTCTCTGCTTTGTACTGACACAACATTAGTCCTTACCTGTGAAAATGTGTGCTGATCACTGAAAGTATAATGTATTTTTTTTTATAAGTGACAAGTATATCACTAGACAGTGTTTATGTAATGCTTTAATAATACGAGCAGGTGACATATGATTTAATCAATTTATTTATTTGACAGAGACAGTGTACATTAATAAGCATTCCTGCAAATGCACCAGAATGATCTGTTGTCCCTGAACAGATCTTAAAATGTTCTACTTAAAAAAAAAAACACACAGTAAACATTTTACAATGGAGAATACAAATGGAAAAAGAAATGAAAACAGCTATAACTCTTGAAAACTGGTTTAAAAATACAGAATAAATGTTCGCTGGACTACAGATTAATATATATATATATATATATATATATATATATATATATATATATACACACATATACATACATACATAAACACATATATATACATAAGCAGTGATCAAGTGTGTGAACAGATACAGCTGCTTTCACTGAATTAATGTGTTATAAAACTAACTATTCTCTTTCTGTTAGGTTCTGACTCTGGCCAGTAATGAGCGTATCCCTCTAAACCCCAGCATGAGGCTGGTGTTTGAGATTAGCCACCTTCGCACTGCTACTCCTGCTACTGTGTCTAGAGCAGGTACAACAACTCACTAACTTATTTCCATGCTTCCTTTTTTTTTTACTTCCTTGGTTAAGTTTTTTTTTTATGTCTGTTAATCTTTTAAAATCCTAAATCGAGGTGTATTTTTTTAAGTACATGTTGACAGGAATGAGACCAATAGGAATATAGAAAGCCTGCTCTCCCATTAGATTACACTGTCCTTCAACTTAAGTGTATTTTGTTTGAATGTTCACATTTGACATTTGACCACAGATTCTAGTCATTACTTGGGGACTGAAAAGAAAAAAAAAGAACTTTAGCATTCATGCACACTTATGGTTTTCTTATCTAGATAAGTAATTTTTTCTTAAAATAAGTGCATTTGTTCTTGGATTGAGGAATTAAAAGAGACACATTGCCAATGGAACAGGACAATTTACACTTAAAACAAGAACACGATTGCATTTTCTTATTTCAAGTGCATCTTATCTAATTATATTATTTTAAGAATAAATATATTAATTTTGTTGGCATATCATCTCATTTACCTACTCAAATTAAGGGTAAATACACTTAATTTAAGATTTTTTTTAATTTATTTCTAGATCCTTTTTCCACCAGCACATTTAAATCTTTTTTTTTTGTTGTTCAGATCAATCTGCAGTGTCTCAACACCTGTGAGAAACTTTTTTTGATTTACACACAAAAGCAAAACGGCTTCTAATGTGAGAATCTTCCTCGACACAATTGTTGTTTCCCCTTATGGCTTTTGCTCAAAATTGGTCCACTTGTTGTAATTGTCTAACAAATTACCAGGTGTCATTTGTGAGACAATTTTTGCAGGTGTGAGGGTTTTGTAAAAGAAAAGAGTTGGACTCAAGGGAATTGGAGTAAAGATTTTGAATATTTTTTTTCAATAAAAAAAAAGAAATGTGCCGTTTTTTTCCCACTCATTTTTGTTGATCTGTTATATATTAGTATTTAACTTGAATGCCGCATTGATACATTTGGAAGGCACTGTATGTTTGCTTGTATGCTTTTAACACAACCTGTGGTAAAGTGGAATGCTGGTCCCTTCTCTACCAAGGTATTCTGTACATAAACCCAACAGACCTCGGTTGGAGCCCACAGGTGTCCAGCTGGATCGATAGAAGGAAAGTCCAGTCTGAGAAAGCAAACCTGACCATCCTCTTTGACAAGTATCTTCCTTCCTGTTTGGATGCTCTCAAATCAAGGTAACTAGTTGTTTTTTTTTGTTGTTTCTTTACTGGGATGGGAAGTGCTGACCATATTCTGTTGAGTTCCTGTGTGGAGTGGGCATGTTGAAGGGGGGGGATAAACAGGGAGTGACTCAGAAGAACTGGATGTGATCCTACATTCGGTACAAGGACCATTTGCTTCCTCTGACACCATCATCATTGCTGCTGGAGCAAACAACAGGAAGCAGGGGAGTGATGAATGTATTGTGCTCACAACAATTTCTAAATATGCACCACAGCTCATATATTTGTCATCTGGTGTTTCGGAAGTACGTGATTGAAATTGTTAGTTCACATAACCCTTTGTCCATTCTGTGATTTCTGTAAGCCAAAAACAAAAATCTGTGACACATTAGGAAACAGTTCTGGTAAAAAAATTATTTATTGCCAAAGTTGGTATGATTGGCTAAATGATTGGATTTAATTGTGTTATAAATAATTTTCTGTTGCAATGCTTTTATAAAATACAAATTGGATGCAGAGAATTAAAACAAAATTTGTTTGTTTTTTTTAGATTCACTTAAATCTTGAATAAGATGTGTGTTACGTTGTTAATGTAAAGGCCAAATAGTTTTTGTCTTTGTGATCGCAAATTGACTCTATATATATATTATCTATCAGGCATATTGCATTTGTTTTAAAGCTCCTATTTTACCTACAGTATCTATTATCAGAGGAAAAGCAAAGATTTTCAGTGAAAATCTAACCAGAGAAGTATTCCAGCTTTAAAAGTCTCTTGGAGCTATTTGTAAAAACCTGTAAATTCTATTCATCAATTTAAACCACAATAACAAAGAACAAGTTTTTTTTAGCCTGAATAAAAAGTATAAATAGTCATAATCAGGTGAAAGGGGAACTGTTTTAATGATGATGAATAATGTAGCTTAGACTCCAGCCTGCTATACACTGGACGTTTTACCAGTATCACCGTCTGAGTGGAAGCAAATTTCACATCATCATGGGCTGAGAGTGTCATCATGTGTTAGGGTGTTGTGCGCGCTTTGGTGGCGCAGTGATTAGCACACACGACCCATGTATGGAAACCTTAATTCTCGAAAGAGTTCAAATCCGACCTGTGGTCCTATCCCACATGTCTCTTCCTGTCTCTTATACCCCCTTTCCTGTCAGCAGACTGACCTTAAAAACTAGCGGTTGATTAGACTTTTTTTATATATTCCTCTCTGCAATTTTTTTCCACTAATTGAAATGTCTTTAAATAGACATTAGCATGAATTCATCACACTGTAGTAAACAGATAAGTGGAGGCAGAAGATGTCTTTCTGTCATCAATGCACACATTCAGTGACACACAGAAGCTCTTTCAAGCTGGGCACCATTTCATTCACAACACCTGTCCCATCAACCAGGAATCAGAATCAGAGATACTTGAATAATCTCAGGGAGAAATTACTTTAGTTACATTACTCCATCTGTAATAGATTGCTTGATATACAGTAACACTATTCATACAATATATATAATGAAGGGGGTCCCCGCTCCATCTGGCCATCAGTTTGGGGGTCCTTGGCCTCGAAAACGTTGAAGACCCCTGTGTTAGGGTGTTAGCTATTTTTTGCCACAATCACAAAAAAAGCTCAAGAGTGAAAGTGATGTTATTAAACCACAACAAGCTATAACTGGTGTCCAGTATGGTAGTGGTAGCTTCATGCTAGGGAGCTAATTTTGTCCAAGAGAGCAAAAAACCCATAAACTACCAACAATGACACGTTCAGGGACAAAGATGGAAGAGCCCAGCAAACTAGGCAATGCTCAATGTTTCATTCCCTCAAATTTAAATGAATTTTGCTGCTGGATATTATATTTTAAAGTACTTTACTTCTAAGGGTTTTTGATGCGTTGTGGTGAAATTGACACCATATAGCTTTAAAGCCAAAACAAACACACAGTTTCAACTGTGAAGCAATGCACCTTTTACTGCTAGTGGCAATAGAGCATTGCTGAAGGCTTAGAGAACACTGAGGGGGCAACATCCAAACATATCAACAACTACAAATACAAACTGTTTTCAAAATGGGGATTATTTGTTAAAGCCATGCACATGGCAGATTTGATATATTTGATTCAGGATTTTTCAATTCTAACCATATGATTTTGTCTTATTTTCAGGAAAAAAAATATTAAAAAAGTTTCTTAAAGGCTTCAAAGAGAATGTGTTGGAGCTCATCTCCATAAGTGACATTTGACCAAATATTAGTCAGTGTGCATGCATGTCATACAACTAATTGCATCTGTTTGTAGCATCCTCATTCTACCCTAGAAATGATCATACTAAAGATGTTCCATGTAAACCTTACAGTAGTTTTATGTATATGTGCATATTACATTCACCTATTTGTCCTTCACTGTGTGAACAGTAGAGCATTTCTCCCCTGCCTGAGGACCAGATCAAGAGTTTAGATTTTGATTTAATATTTCTGTCTTTGGTCAGGTTCAAGACAATCATCCCTATCCCTGAGCAAAGTGTGGTACAGATGCTGTGCTACCTGCTGGAGTGTCTTCTGACTCCAGAAAACACGCCAGCGGACTCTCCCAAGGATCTATATGAGCTCTACTTTGTCTTTGCTGCGATCTGGGCCTTCGGGGGAGCCTTGTTCCTGGACCAGGTACTTTGTGACCTCTGGACATGTGAAATGCTTACTAAGTAGTTGCACAAGCTAAAAGAAAAGAAATAGGGGTGATAGCCAAAGTGTCTTTTCTTTTTTTTATCCTTCATAATGCAAAAATGTTTCCTGGATTATTATTTAAGCCCTGATGGCTCCTATGGAACTTGACATTGTGTCTATTTATACAAAGTCATTTGAATGTTATTTTCTTTTGAAGCAATAATATTTTTTCTCATAAAGGCAGAGATCTCCATCTAAAAATGAAAATGGACTGCATTCCCATTCTGAAACACACACAGGCTGGCTGAATCTCAATCAGCAGGAGAGCTGTGGCAAGCAGTTGCTTAGCAATCCAGTTAGTTCAGTACAGTAAGCGCGTCCATCTAAGTTATGGGATAAAACTGCTTTCCCCTTGGTACAAATGTACTCCACTTTATTTTCCCATCACAGATGCATTTAAATGCTAAGTGGTTTTATTGACTGGAGAGGCAGTGGTGAATGGAGGAGACAGGTATCAAGGGTTGGGAAGAAGGAGAGGAAGGCGGGGAACTGCTAGCCAGGAGGTGATGGGACTTCTTCACTGCCTGAATCACATGGATGGATAGATAGGTCTGCCATCTCTCATTTTGTTCCCTTCAGCTGCTGTAACTCATCTGTGTGTTGCAGCCCTTTATTTGTCCTTTGGTTTGTATTCACACCAGTGTAAATCAAACGCACAGATCCATAGCTGCTGTATGGAGGAGAAAAAGAAGAGAGGAAGTCATTTTACAATATTGAACGCTTGCCTACCCTCTGTGCCTCTGTGTGTGTGCTCTGTGTGAAAGCAGCTGGTGGACTACAGAGTGGAATTCAGCAAGTGGTGGGTTGCTGAGTTCAAAACCATCAAGTTCCCATCGCAGGGTACCGTGTTCGATTACTACATCGACCCGGAGAGCAAGAAGTTCGAACCGTGGTCCAAAATTGTCCCCAAGTTTGAGATGGATCCAGATATACCTCTTCAGGTAAGCCTCAACCAAGGCAGCTCTGGGCATACACTGACTGTCATCATTCCTCCCAGGTTATCTGGAGAATTCTTAGTCGTCAGGAAGTCATATTCAAATGTCAAATCATTCTGGCTTAAACATGTACATAGATATACTCTTTATCAGACTACATTTTCCCAAAAGTTAGAAAATTTTCAGTTTAAAAAAAAATCCTGTCTTAAAATCTGGGTTTTTTGTTTTCGTTATCTTATGCAGGTCAGTTAGTTATACTTCAGCCTGAACACCTAAATTTGGCCAATCATATATCAACGGTCATCTTCAAATCAAATTTTTTCGGTCATAGCATCTTGATTCATATGTCGCAGCTAATATATGCAACGGTTGTAATAAGAAATAAGAATAATTTACTTTACCATTCAGTTCCGTCCCAGTGTTCACGGGGATGGACGTTTGTGTCTTCAGTAGGCGTAGAGCTAACAAAACTGGCAGCGTTGTGCAGAGGAGACTCATCCACAACCTCCGACACAAATCTTTGCTCGTCTTGCATGTTTCCGCTGTCCATAGCGTTCCTTGACAGTGTCGTTGCTAAGTGCTAATTGGTTCCAATGTAATTTCCCATTGGGAACCTACTAGCACTAAGTTGCTAACTGGTTAACAAGATGCTTCTCAGACACCGGCCACAATCAAACTTGCTTGCGAACCTTCCGCCACAACAATCCTGCTCCCTTGATAATCTACCAATCACCTTCCCTTTATTCACTCGTGTATAATCGGGCACCACTCGGGAGAATTCGGAACTGCAACTGTTGGAACAGCAGCTTCCCTACGACTTTAATAGTTTTATTATCTATCTTAAGCTTTTATCCAGACTGCTGCGATAAGAGCCCTGAATTTCACTCATGGTTCTTTTGCCAAAGAGGCAGGAACACAATTACCCCATTTACACTACCCTTGAAAAACCGTACCGAGACCGGTCTAAGCTCAGCAACTGAGATAACTTATCGTGTGTAAATGGAAAGCAAACTGAACCGAGCTAACTGCAGACCAGTTCCAGAGGTGGGCTCGGCTCGGTTTTTCCTTGGCTCGGTTTTTCCCTGGCTAGGTTCCCTGATAACAAGAGCGCATGAGCAGAACGCTTCCTCTCCGTCTGGCTATACATCCCGATTCACACTCCATTCCAGTAGTTGACGGTAATGCCCCTCCGGAAGTTGTTTGCCAACCAACACAAAAAAGAAGAAAAACAACTATAACTATAAATTTACTTTCTCAAGTAAATCCACGAAAGGTTGCCGTCTTTCCTGACCGTCTGCAAACACCGAAGTACAGCAATAATAATCAAGCATAACTTTCTGAATGTGACGGGTGCCAATATTTTGATTTGCTTGATTCCCTCCTTCGTCTTCTTCTTCTTGTGTTTTATGGCGGTTGGCAAACAACATTTGGTGCATTACCGCCACCAACTGCTTGATTTCCTCCTTCAATACTGGCAGTAATACCGCAGATTGTCACTAGGAGGCGAGGAGTCAAGGAACCGAGATTGCGTGATGTGTAAACGATCAGTTAACCAAGCCTGGCCTGGTTAACTGATCCGAGCTTGGACCGGTCTCAGCATGGATCGGTTTTTCAAGGGTAGGGTAAATGTCCTGTTTATCCTTCCACACCCGCGTTGGGAAAGTTAATTTAAAAAGAGAATAGTTATAGTTAATAGTTACTCCTCCAAAAAAGTAGCAACTCAGTTCTTGCTAACTGAAAGTAACTCAGTAATAGCCAAAATAACTATGCAGTTACTGTTTTATGATTTGGTGTCAAAGAAATTGGACAACGTTTTTTTTTTTTTATTGGAATTTTAAATACAACTACAGGTTCAGTTATGGAATATAAGGTGGTTGTTATTAATTGATACATTAACCAATACATTTAAATGTTTAGACATCTGAAAACATTGAAAACTAATCTGCAATGTTTTGATGTGTAAAGTTTGACAAGTGAGTTGTTAAAATTATGTAGATATGTTGATAACTCTTGTTTTAAGTAAAAGAAAAATAAGATGTTTTTGGCTTTATTTTCGTGCACATTGACTGCTTTCAGTTGGCTCTAAAATAGATATGAAGAGGGAAAACTAATGAAATTTAACCAAAAGTAGTCCTTATTTATACACCTTAAGTAACAAATTACTAATCTGTTTAAAGAATAGCAATGATGAACGTGTTACTGCCTTAGTTACAGAGTTAGCTACTGGAAAAAGTAACGTAGTTACTATAATGCATTACTTTATAATGCATTAGTACCAACACTAATAGCTGTTATATGTGGTTTGCCCACTGACCCTGCCACCAAAAAATGCAACTCATGCTAATACAACCACAAACTTTAGTGCATTTTACAGAACTTTATATGATAGATCTGCTCCAACTAGTGCACAATTGTACATGGAGAGAAAATAAAACAATTTTATCAGTTGAGCTGGAGGGAACATTTACAGAGACAGAAAAATGTTCAGGGCAGAATTTTATTCATGCAGTATAAGAATGTGGTGATTACTGAAAGAAAGGTACAAGAATTAAGGCAAGAATTGAATAAATCACTTTGTTCAAATTAGACAAAATTTGGAGAAGGATAAAAAATATCAAACAAAACTCTTTATTTATATATTCTATTTTGCCAAAAAGAAAGTGCAAATTTCCAGTGTCTAGCTGTGCAAATCTTAGAGACATGCCCCGAAAACTTGCCATTGGAATCTTTGCCAATGGCTCGTCCAAATTTACACATCAACAGAATCGGTATTTTTAAATGTTACTGTTTTGATGTGAAACCCTAGACTGTGCAAAACATAAAAATAATGACGAAAAACACCTTATTTGCATGTTCCCTCTAATGTTTGTACCCTGATGGCTAACCACCTCTTTGTCCTTTACATTGTTTTTTTTTTTACCTTTTTTATTATCCCTTTAACATCTACAGTCAAGTCATTGCCCCTTTACTTTAATGTGCTCTATAAAAAAAAAAAAAAAATGCAAATAGTAACATAAGCAACATTAATCATTTTCTGTTTATTGCATCCAGATTGGTAGCTTTGAGCCCCAAGCTTAGCTTTTCTGGAAAATATTTTTTTATGTTTCCTAAATGTTTCTGCACCCTCTGTACAGGCTTGTCTGGTTCACACCACAGAGACAGTTCGCGTTCGTTACTTCATGGACCGCCTCCTGGAGCATCGAAGACCTGTCATGCTGGTCGGGAATGCTGGCACTGGGAAGTCTGTTCTAGTTGCGGATAAACTTGGATCAATGGATGCGGGGAAATACGTGATCAGAAACGTCCCCTTTAACTATTACACCACATCTGCTATGCTGCAAGGTAAGGAAATTGGAATTTTGTCCATACCTACATCAGGCCTACACTCTGGTTTCCAAGTAGTTCTAATGATAAAATTGCAATAAAAAAATAATTCAATTAATCTTTTCAACATAATTAACACCTGTCTAAAGTTTGCACGGTTTAATGTGTGTGAATCATTTTGAGAAGCCATAAAATATAAAGCTGAAAGATAAAAAGAGAAGGGCAGTCTGTGAAGTTTTGATCTCCCACGCAGCTGTGCTGGAAAAGCCCCTAGAGAGAAAAGCGGGGCGCAACTATGGCCCTCCTGGCAACCGAAGAATGATCTACTTCATAGATGACATGAATATGCCGGAGGTGGATGCATATGGCACGGTGCAACCCCACACACTCATCCGCCAACACATGGACTACAACCATTGGTAAGACTAAGTTATTTTGCATTTAGATTAGCAATCCATCATTTGCATAGGAAAGCTGTATTACACAACCGTGCTGTTTGAAATAGACATATTTAACCTTGTAAATGTCATGTTTACCATCCGTTAATTGTAGGGCTTTAAATATCAAGAGAAAAAGGAACAAAGTCTTTTTGAGATTTAAGAATTAATGATGAATTTGTTTTTTGAGGTTTGTAGAAATTGATTTGTCCACGACTTTTTAAAGGGGTGATAGAATGATTATATAGGGTAATTGGTGCTGGTTCTTAAGATCTCTTAATAGGGTGTGTAACATTGGTCAGCATATTTGCTATTCTATGAGCCCTAATGCAAGCCTGGTTAAAATCCCTAGAATGAAACGACAGGTTTTCTTCCTTTTATGGTATGCTCATGAATATTTAGATGAGCTGTATGCTGATTGGTTGGTTTACAACAAGCAAAGCTGCTGAGCGATGACGCATCATGGCAACAAGCAGTCACTCACTGAAACATCGAGATTGTTGATATGGTAGGGTGAGCAGGTACGTCCTCTTTTTCCCAGACGTGCTTTTCGTACCTAAAAAAATGTCTGGGGCAAATTTCAAATTCATCCGGGATTTTGGTCGACTACAGTGCAGCACGTAGTTGAAACACAGAGCACTCGAACCGAACCATTAACTCCGGGGCTGGTCCGGAAACCCTGGCGGATGGGGGCACCCAACCCTGTGACGGTATGTTGCCCCCCGCCTGTCTTACCATGCTATGGTAGCACGGGGCCGCCGGTGTCCCGGCTAACATTACCGAGTTGGGTTCAGTCAATCCGTCCCCCACTGGCTCCCTGCCCCATCTGCCAGGGTTTCCGGACCAGCACCGCAGTTGATAGCTTGGTTCGAGTGCCCAGTGCGGTCCAGTCAGCTGCCCAGCTAAAATGCTTAGAGCAGGGGTCTTCAAAGTTTTCAAGGCCAAGGACCCCCAAACTGATGGCGAGATGGAGCGTGTCACCCCCTAATTATATATATTTTATGAAATTGTGTTATATCAAGCTGGTCCTTTAGTCATTGTATTACAGATGGAGTAATATAATGAAAGTAATTTCTCCCTGGGATTATTAAAGTATTTCTGATTCTGAATCCTGGTTGATGGGACAAGTGTTGTGAATGAAACGGTGCCCAGCTTGAAAGAGCTCCTGTGTGTCGCTGAATGTGTTCATGATGTCTGAAAGACATCTTCTGCCTCCATTTATCTGTTTACTACAGTGTGTTAAAATCATGTTAATGTGTTTTTAAAGACATTTCAATTAGTGGAAAAAATTGCAGGGGGATGTAAAAAAATTTGTACCTTCGTGGACCCCCTGTTGATGACCTCTGGCTTAGAGCAAATGAACAGCTGGGCATCAAACTTTGCTGGGATCTTCTGACAGACAAACATAATCCATGCCTGTCGAGTCTTTGAATCCTTGGGAAGACTGTGAAAATGTTATCCTTTCTCCGTGAAGCCTGGAACACTGCATTTATATCCATGGTTCTGGCTCATTTTCAATATTAATCTGCCTGCTTTGTAATTCTTGTAGAATTTAACCCAACTGTAGGCTAAACAGCTAAACTGGTGTCTTTCATCTACCTCTATGCATGTTCTTGGGCCAGTGAACCAGTCGGCTGGTCTGTATGTACATTTCGGGGAGAGACAAAAGTACAGGCCAGAACCAAATAAGGCAACATCCCCGAGTTGACATCAGTTTGGGGCTTCGTTTGGATTCGCCCGTTTTATGTTGGAAGTTTAGAATTGTGAGATTTGAAGAGAAAAGAGGTGATGATGGGGTTTGAACTTCTCTGTACGTCCATTTCACCCACTGAACTATCGTTGTTTGTCTATGACAATGTAAACTCGGTTTTGCATTCTACGACCTCTTTAATTTCAAGTCCTACTGTATGATTTGGGAAAAGTTTCAACTTTTAATCATACGGCCTCACATGTTAAGCTTGAGTTTATGATCTACTCAAAGATTGCAAGATGCTTAGTTCACATGGTGGTGAAAAAAGCGTGACTCAGCATGCCTACACCACCTTGCATGCCAACTTACTTTCTCTTTATTCTTTTCTGAACTGTCCTGTTATAAGCTTTAAAATTTCACAAGCTTAGCTGAGGCCTGAGGCCTTTCTTTTATCAGCGATATAAGTATTTACAGGAATATAGTCCACAAAAGTTGCTGCTATAAAATGATTGCAGATATCTTTCGCTTAAAGTTATGTATACTTCCGACCACGGAACTACTTAAAGTGCTGTTTTAATAGAGGTGATCCCACTTTCCAGGTATAATTTATTTACAGTAGGTCTTTCTGGTCTTCAATAAATGATTAAACTGATGAGAATTTGAGTCATGAATAACACTACATTTAGCCATAGGAAGAGTGCTGCCGTGTTTAGGAAAAAATAATTTTGAATCCACTAAAGTACACCGAGTGTTGTTAGACAAGAAAACTATTAGGCCATAAGTGAGCACATCACAACGATGCACTCAAAACCATATTCGGCAAATCGTGTTCTTGTTGCACGCTTGACCACTCCTACGTGGTCTTATCTGACATGCTAGATTAAGTTTTTATTTATTTATTTATTTATTTTGCAGTAACTACCTTATTTTGATAGCAGCAACCTTTTGTCATTAATTTGGTGTTGAGCATTGATTTTGGTCTCTATGCTGATTTAGGTTGTCTTGAGTACATCATTACCAAACATGTTCACAAACCAAGCTTTATACTGTAATCTCTAATCCAAGAAAATATTCTGCCGCATAAGTAGGTGGCTGTTGATCGGTGGAGAAAGCAATCACCTAATTATGTTATACATATTATATTTATATATAATTTATATCATTTTTCTGAGGTCCATATTTGTGTGACCATGTTTTTCAATAATCTTTTTGCTGCTGTAAACAACAGAATTTCCCCATTTTGGGTCAATAAAGGGATTTTCTATTCTATGCTATTTGGTTCCAGTTTCCTGTCTTGTTACATATCAGTATGTTAGTATTCACATCAGGGTTCCAGTCTGTGGAATCCTTAAAAGTTTGGGAATTTGACAAAAGCAAATAAATAAATTTACCTTGAAAGTCCTTAAATGTTTTTCGATGTCTTAACTTTTATCCGCGGGTTGGGGTTCGACTGCTGTGAGTGGGTTATTCTTGTTTAAACGATCCAATCAGCCAATCAGCATATTTAACATAAGGGAAACACAGATGCATCCCTCTTCTGATGGGTTTAACAATCACTTTTACTCAGTCATGAAGTCTGCGCCTAATGGCCAGAAAAGCAGATTTCAGGATGCATGGCTAGCTAAAGACCACTATGCTGAGTGGTTGTCAAAGGACTCAAAATGAACAGTGTAGCAGGTGCAGAGCCACAAAGTAAAGAGAATGAGCTGTATTGTCCAGCCTTGCTGCATGAGTTCATCGCAAAAATACACTTTTCAACCTGGAAGCATGTAGCTTATGTATTTGTTCAACTTCAAAACATTTTGTTAAAATCATAAATAATTCAATATTAATTCAATTCAGTTTATTTATATAGTGGAAATGCACAACACATGTCATGTCAATTAAAGCACTTTGCAGAGACAATTCAGCTAGATCATACAGTCAAATTAATTAAAAGTGTTCTATTTAAGGAAAACTAGTTGATTGCATCGACTTATTGGCTCGAGAGCAATCCCTCACACCAAGCATGCTTGTAGCGACAGTGGAGAGAAAATCTCCCTTTCAACAGGAAGAAACCTCCAGCAGAACCAGACTGTGTGAGTGGCCATCTGCCGAGGCCGACTGGGGTTTAAGGTGACAGAAGCAGACATACAGAAAGTAGCAGAGAAACAAACGACTAGTGTCAACCATCCCCATAGGAGGCCCCGTCCAGGAAACACATAGCCAGGCAGACAAGCTCTGAGCCAGCTCCCATGTCAGAGCATGAAAGAGAACACAGTTAGCCACAGTCAGAGAAACAGGACTACACTGGAAAACAGGCCAAGCTCCAACATCCACAAAAAAGGCATTAATGGCAGCATAAAATCAGTATATAAGTTTATTTGTCACTAACTGTAAAACTCTGATGACATTATAAAGTCAGATCCCTCAAAGACAGGTCACGTCTGACCTCCTGCAGGTTAATGTACCCTACTGCTCCTACTACTCTTCGTAACCTTCACTAACTAGTTTAGCCTTGAGATGTTTAGATGTGTATTGCTGTTACAATTCTCGCTTTATTGTTTGACTGATTTTCATGATAAAGATGAGTACCACTAAAGATATTCATACAAATAATTATATTTGAAAAGAAGTTGTTCTAAGCCTAAGCTGCTATTAAGCAGGTCTTTAGTGTTTGTAAATTACCCTCCTTATAAAATTCAGGAAGCAGTCTGCCTTTATTACCATATGCTGCAACTTTTATGAGTGTCAAAAGTTATATGTAGAAAGCAGGACTGTGTGATTCCCCGTAAAAAGGATTTTGTTGCTCATCTCTCTGACACAGTGAGGCTATTATGAACATGGTTCCACTGCGTCAGACACCGGCCGACTGGATTAGACACGGTCAGCCCATTAGAGATATGCTTGGAGGACTTCAAGTATGAAATTGAGAGGAAGGAGGTTTCTTGGAAGATGCGCCAGCTTAAGAGGAAGCTAAGGTGTCCATGTCGGGGGGAGAAAAAGTACAGGGGAGAATTCTGTGCGAATGTTAGCTGATGTTGGTGGTTATGTGCAGGCAGAGAAGATGAATAATGATTTTTTTTTTTCTTTTTTCCGCTGCGTGTGATCTGCAGGTATGACCGTAATAAGCTGCTTTTGAAAGAAATACACAACGTTCAATATGTTTCCTGCATGAACCCCACGGCTGGCAGCTTCACCATTAATCCCAGGCTCCAGGTAGGCAAAAACATTCAGGCCATTTTCCCATGATATACCATAGGTTATGTGATACACTGGCATGGTTACATATGCTTCATTTTACCTTGCAAACTATAATAGGCAGAATAAAAATCGAAGCTACAGAAAAAAAAAAAATATATATATATATATAAATACCAATCTTACTGTATGGTTAATCTTTCAGCCTCAAGCTAAGCTCACCCCGCAGAAATACATCACAATGTTTTCTAACTGAAAAGGAGTCTATCAGCAAACTATTTTAAACAACACAACTGTTTTTTTTTTTTTCTATAAACCCTTTATGCTCTTTAGTCAGTTTATTAAAAAGCTCTTTAACACAGATTCCAACAAACTGATCAACTTTAGATTCAGGTGAAAAAGGACTGGGTCGTCATCCATCAGGATTTCGCCTGAAGCTAATACTCAGAATGCCAGGAAGATGAACAATCACACTTCAAACATTGATTTTTTTTGTATTTTTGTTTTAAAAACAATTCATTTTAAACATGGCTTGAAAGTGTTGAGATGTTTTAAGAATTTAAAAGCCAAAAAACAAAAGATTTTGATGCGATTCCTCTGTTAGAGGCATGGCACAGGACACTGTAAAGAGAGGAACGTGTTGTATATGTGAAGAATAGTAGGAGATGTTCAAATGGAGATGTGTGACAGAAGACACTGCAAATATTCCAGTGGGCCTTGCTTCTTACTGATAGTGTCACACATCAAGGTAACTTTGCCTCACCCAAATGGAAAAAAGGGAGGTTGGTTTGTAAAGGTTACAAAGCAGGCAGCAGGCTGGGAGCAAAGCAGAGGCTCACATGTGGAATGTTTTAGTGCGGACACCTTGGCAGCTATTCTTCTCAGAATACAGACAGAAGGATGGTTTTTACCCTTTGCAAGAACAAAATAACATCCTCTGTGGACTCAGGTGGGGTGTGTATTTAACAGCTGTTGAGGGAAAAGATAAATGTCTTCCCTTCCTGTATTATTGCACCATCAGCCAAAAACCATTAGTTAGTATCAGAGCAGCACAACTGTAAGAACCGTTTAGCTGCCAATTATTTACTTAAAGCATTGGCAGAGAGACAGTGGACACATATTTAAAATGCTCTAATATAAACATAAACTTATCACAGCACTATCCTGGCAGCAGACTGATGTCCAAACTCCTTTTGGCTTGAATATTTCTTGCCTTTGTAAGATGACTAAGGCATCACACCTTTTTAAGATTTAAATATTAAATGTAAAGAGATTAGGATTAAGAGAAACTGTTGTTCTTGTTTATTATTCTGGGAGGGGCTAAAACGAAATTTCCAAAGCCTTTTAAGTTCATTTACAATGAAAAAGATCACAAATAATAGGAAATTACTACTGCATGCCACTGCTTACTTGGGTTAGCAATGTGACATCTAAATACTAGTGCTGTCAAAATTATCGCGTTATTAACGCGTTAACGCGAGGCCATTTTAACGGCGATAATTTTAACGTGAGATTAACGCTATGTGGTTTTTTTATGGTACAATTTTCCAAGTACATCCCGCTGCAGCCTGCAGGAAGGCGGGGCTATTTTCCCCCAGTCTATGCATTTTCCATAGGCTTCAAGAGCGGAGCTCCTCAAGGGAAAAAGACGCTCATACACTGGGTGACGCTAGTGCCTTTTCTTTAAGCCCCTGAGGTGAAATGGAATCTGCTACGGCACTCTTGCTGTCTGTACGCCACAGGTCAGTATGGCGTGTGTGTGTGTGTGTGTGTGTGTGTGTGTGTGGGTGTGTGTGTGTGTGTGTGTTCTCATTTTTCACTTTCTAGAGCATAGACTACCTCCATCTAGTGATGTCGGTCTATTGATTTTGATGTATTGATTGAAAATTGTTCATTATTACCTTGGTTAATTGACATCTAATGTTAACTCTACTTGCTTGTCTTTGTTCAAAAGACTGTATTAACTGTAAAGACTCTTTTACATCAGCCTGTTTTCAGGGCCTTTTTTTTGGCTACATATTTGTTAATTTTTGCTACATGCCTCCCCATCTTCTTGCCATATGTTTCTATGGGATAAATCAGTGTCTGTGACCTGTTCTCATTTAAAAAAAAGAACATTGGCACAAACCTAGCCTGTATGTATTTTTTTGTATGTCATCAAGAGTATTTAAATGATTTTCAATCAGGAAAAAAATGTGCCATTAAAATGCGATTAATCGCGAGTTAACTTAGGCATTGATGCGATTAATCGCGATTAAAAAAATTTAATCGATTGACAGCACTACTAAATACATTTCTGCAAATGGTTGAGCAGGATGGTGGAAGGGGAATGATTTGAGCTTTTGCTTTTTGCAGCATCATGCAGCATGACCTTTGTAAACCAAAGCCTTCCAAAGGAATAATTCTATAAAATTCACAAAACACAAAATAAATAATGTATATATATAATACATTTTATATGTCATTATTTGTGCTTGGGCATTTCTAAACAATAAGGCAATTTCTCATGATCCTGCGTCAGTTATCTAAAGAGATCAGACATTTGATTATTATAAAGTGTTAGGTGAGGCCATATGTTTTACAATCAAACCTGGGTCTGCTGAATAACAGTAATATAAATAGCAGTGTCTCAAATTCCCTTCAAAATAATGAGAGATGATAATGTTAGAGAGGAATCAACTATTTTAAGTGATATCTGCCAAAGGGTATAAAGCTAATGTTGTGATGTTTTCTTTTTTTTTTTTTTTCCCCAAGACTTATTTGTATGATTTTTTATAATATAAACAATTTTTTTTTTAAATCTATGTTTTGGTCTAAATTCTGTTTCAAACTAGTGAAGAAAATATTTTTATTCAGGGGCTAGCTGTCAGGGTTGGGTTGAGGTTTTAGGGACGCGAATGCAGAGGTGAGGAGGCAGTGGAGAGTTCTTAGATATATTTAATTAACAAAATGAGGCAAAAATCCAGAAACCAAAGCACACAATACATGGACCAGACAACTTCATGGGAAAAACTCACATGGGGAACAAAGAAAAGATGAGGAATCAGCCCTGAGGAACTGTACAGAGAGAGTATATATGGGAGACAGAACAAAGACTGGACTAATGAGCTGATTGGGAGCAGGTGTGAACAGAGGATTCTAGAAGGAGCTAGGGAAAAGGAAACCAGCACAAGAGGGCAACAGAGGGTAATTAAGAAATATTTAAAAACTCAAATATATCCAGAAAACCCCACAAAATAGGAATTAAACCAATAAAACTAGAAAACAAGGAAAAACAAGGATCAAAGTGAAACTGGAAACTCAAAAGAAAACTTAAACAGAACCAAGACTGACACTAATTAATAAAATCTCACACTTTTCTTTTACTGGATTGTGATCTATTGAGGTAAGAAGCTCTTAAATTAAATAAATAGTATTAATGAGTTTACTGAAAAAAAAAAAAAAAAATCACACACATCAGCTTGTATAACCACTCTGACATAAGATAAGCCTTAAACATTTACCTTCAGGGCAGTAGAACATATTTTGGACTTAAAGGGGTTTTAAATTCTGTTTTTGTCAATAGAGTCAAATGTGATGCTGCAGGGAATTTATAAAATACAGCTGAAGTCACAAACTCTGCTGCCAGATGGTGTTGGATCTAATAACAAATTAATTAGCAGTTTCCTTCCACAGATCACTCAAGTACATTTGATGAAGGACACTCATACAAAAATAATTTTTTTAGCATTACCATCATTAGTATGGAACAGCAAGTTATCTCGGGTTGTTTACTCTTTATTTCTCTCCATAGCGGCACTTCTGCATCTTTGCCCTGTCCTCTCCCGGAGCAGAGGCCCTTAGCACCATCTACAGCTCCATCCTGTCTCAGCACCTGAGTGGAGAGGGCTTTAACTCCGCCCTGCAGAGGAGCAGCTCTGCCCTGGTCCAGTTGGCCCTGGTTCTGCATCAACGCGTCTGCTCTGCCTTCCTCCCCACAGCGGTCAAGTTCCACTACATCTTTAACCTGCGGGACCTCTCCAACATATTTCAGGTGACACTTTTATGGACCAAATAGATCAGGAAAGAGTGACCTCAGGTTAATCTTCTCTTGAGCAGAAGTCAAAAGCTGCCCTCCGAAAGTTTGGCTCTTTTTCCCCGACACCACCCACACCTCTGTTTCAAAGAAGGGCATACATATTTTACCTCTATTCTCTTCTCCTGCAGTTCTGCTTTGCTGGGCTTCTGTCACTAATTTCTCACTAAATGATTATTGATTTAAGAGGCTGCACTGAACGCTGGATATAATTCTGAAATAAGTGGAACGGAGAATACAATAGATTTGCTTTTCCATGGGTACATAAATGTATTTAAATGAATAATATCAGAGTGTTAATGCTATCAAGGGAGAGGCTTTGGGGGCAATATTTCTGTCAAAATCCTCCACGGTTTTAATGGAGGGCAGGCTCTTTCATTTAACACTCTCTGTTGTATAATTAACGCTTTGAGCCACTCTGCTATAGGAAGTTAATTTTTCATTATTCTTTCTAGGAGTTTATGGATTGAGGACACAGCGCACTGTTTTCATTATACAGTTATATAGGTGTAATGTTATGCTAATAAAATTGTATACATTTTTTTCCTTTTCATTCCCAGAAGGATAACATATGTGTATTTGTATGTGCCTGGTAATTTTCACAAGTTAATATTTAGTTCAATTGTGATTGTGATCCTGAGGTTAAGCCAATGTAGCATGAATATTTTCAGTGCAAAGAAATTCTCAGTGCAAACAAATTCTCAAATAAGAGATATATCTACTTAACAGCTGATAAGAATGGTGAATTATGGGTTGGTGTTGCTACAACTTTGAGATAATCTGTCTCTGCAGGTTACACATTAATCTAAAGTCAAATATGTATAGTGATCTCGTCCTCTGCCTACCCAAGATTGTGCAAATGTGAAATCGCTTATGCATTTCCCACCAGGGATTTGTTTTGATTTAGCTTTTTTTGGTCAGATTTTGATGTCGAAACCATGACATGCAGAATTTGATGGAACCACAAATTCTTCTTTTAGCCATTCCTAAATGATGATACTTTTTTTTTTACCTCTGGCTGAATCACTCTGGCTATGCACACGACAATGATCAGAAACAAACAAGTAGGTCCACCTTTCAACACCTCAAACTTTTGGCTCAACCTCATCAATTCAGGGCTTAAATTTAATAAAGATACTGGATATGTACTCGAATAGGCTGCTAAGGTTTCAAAATCATTCACCCATTCATTTGCTCTTACTTAGTCCTTCTTAGAGTAATAGTGGGGCTGATGCCTATCTCCGGCAGCCTGAGGGTGAGATGCGGGGCACACCCTGGACAGGTCGCCAGTCTGTCGCAGGCAAATGCAGAGACACACAACCACGCACGCACACATTCCCATCTATGGACAACTTAAAGAACCCCTGCATGCGCGGGTAGAACATGCAAACTCCATGCAGAAAGAACCCTGGCCAGGAATCAAAACCAGAATCTTCTTGCTGCAATGCAACAGTGCTACCCGCTGCCCCACTGTGCACCCTTGTCTCAAAAAAAGTGATATAAAAGGTTTTTGCAAAGGTATAACTCATGAGGTTGAAAATGCTCGTACCTTTACACACAGAACCAGGTTGATTTAGACATCTATCTTTCCACACTAAATAATCAGAAATTCTAGGTGGTAGAAGGCCGAAACATATAAAGATTTAGCAACCAACGAACTTAAAACTGCTAAGTTAAACAAGTTTGCCATGAAAGATAAATATTTTGAGGTGTTAACTCCATACTTAACAAAGGTAAATAGTTATAAGAGTAGCCAATGCCAAACAATAATCAGAAATGCCTCTTCTGGCCAAAAATGAAAAATACTCCTATTAGGCAAAAGAAAAAAAAAGAAAAAAAAAAAAGTACATTACACTACCTAAGTTCCCTGGAACAGGAGGAAACTTAAGTAAATGAAAATGTTAGAGAACCCGTACAAAACTTCCAATTCCAACAAAGTGGTCTAGAACATAACTGTATATAAAACCAAGGCTATCCACAGAATATTTGTCGCTCAACCAAAGTCAGAGATGCCCAAGAGGAAGGGGTGTGGCAGTGGATCAGTGAGGCTTTAATGAATCCACTGACAAGGAGAAAGTGAGTTCCTGTGTGCTTTAGGGATATTTCACCTGCAAAACAAACAGAAAAGAAAACTAAGGAGAGAGCCTCAGGAGGTCAGTGGCTGTAACACACCTAAGAGCTGCTTTGTTTGCATTTACCCAGTTATCTTTACTTGATACTGACATTTATAGTAACATTTATAGCATTTATTTTGGCAAACAGGCAAGAGGGGGAAATATTTTTAAGAAGCAGATATTGTTTTATCATGGCAAATACTTCTAAAGTTAATTATGTAATTTATCAAATATTTATTAAAGATTTTCCTGTTAACCAATCGCACAAATTTGTTGCAGAGTTGAAGCTTGTTGGCTTAAAAATAAAAGCCTCCTTCCTATTTGACAGCTCACGCCCCAAACACCTCAGGGCTTAGCTTCCAGGCCCTTGATCACACACATCACTGGCTTCAAACAGCTGGGAATTTACGTAAAGACTTTGAAGTCAGTGTTTGAATACACCATTCACATCACTTTGACAAAGTCTTTGTGGTCTCTTCAATTGGCCGAAACAGGTATTTGGCAACTGTGCTGAAGAAACAGTGCCAAAGCTGGCTGGTCCTTTCCTCCAATAGCTTTATAAGAGGGAGCTAAAAAAAAAGGGCTCTATGAGCTCGTTTGAAGTTTTTCTTCCTTACTTATTCAGGTCCTGGCTTTAACACCTCAGGACAGGTGGGAAGAGGTGAGTAGCGTCTTGACATGCATCTGCGCCTCTGTCATAATTCCCCAATCAGATCTACAGTCTTCCGCACTCACAGATGTAGGAAAGGGTTTGTTGTGACAGAACACTTGCTCTAATTCTGAGCGGGAGGCCTAATCGGTTGTCGGTCGGTATTTTCTAGCTGGACTTTATGAGATGTTTGCCTCAACTGAAATAATTGGAGGACTTTGTTTTTTATAGCTTTTGGAACTTGGGGATGTAGCCCAAAGAAAGTGCCTCATGTTGATAAACTCTAATGAGCTAAAAAGCTTGGCTCAAAGGCGCTGTAGAGAATGCAGCAGTCTGTGCAAAGGTGTTTTGTTAATATGACAAAAAGATGACAATTCAGTTGAGCATCAAGACTTCGTCTTCAGAGAATTGTTTTTCAAGTTTGCTTAAACCGTTTTTAGTTATGTGAAGGATTAAGTATGAGCTTTTCCCATATATATATATATATATATATATATATATATATATATATATATATATATATATATATATATATATATATATATATATATATATTTACTTTTTTTCAAAACTTATGTCCTTAGTGAATCCCCTTTTTTCTGTCATAATCTCTCTCTTTGAATCTCAACTCCCTTTGAGCTTTCCTGTTGATCAATAAGGCCAGTTTATAAGTGGGTTTGCTGAGAGTGAAGAACAGCAGCTAAATTCCTCTAACAGGCCAAAACAAACAGTTTGGAGTCCAACAGGGATTGTTGTCAAAGAGCTGTTTGCCACTGTTCGTTAACTGTAATGACCGACGGGCATATCCACTTGCCTGTCTACTCCGCGTCAACCTAAACGAGCTCCTTGAAGCTTGAGAGCTACGGAGGGGGAGGCGTAGGTTTGGGAGATGGATGGAGCAGATGGAGAAGAAAGAATCTGAAGAGAGTACATGAGGCTCGTGGTGCAGTGAGACCGCACCCAGACTGGACTGACTGCTCTATATGTCTGTATGATATTCAGTGGATAGTCAGCTGGGTGCATTTGTCAGTTGTTCGGGGCTCAGAGCAGCTGTCAGGAAGAGAGGAAAACCAGCCCATGGAAACAGACAGCGCTGTACAGAAGATACATGTCAACACCCAGAGCTCTAATCCCTCTCCTCTGAGTTGAATGAAGCAAGAAGATATTGAGGGAGGATTCTGAGAGACAGCCAAAATCATCTGGATAGAGGGGAAAAAGTTTCTCTTCTTGGTTTTGTGTGAGCATACTTTGCTATGTCTTTACTTGGCAAATAGCTAAAGTTAAAAGCATGTTCCTTAGAGTTACAGTGCTTCAAAAAAGCAAGCAAACTTCAAACAAACTTCATCTTATTGTATGGGGATCTTATTTGATACATTAACACAAATGAATGCATAACTAGAAAGTAAATAAAAGGGTTACATAGCTATGTTTTTTTTTTGTTCTCCATCATTAGAAGCTCCTACTGGAAAGCCCTCTAGGGGTGATACGTAGAGCTCCGCCTACAGGTTTGGTGGGAGACAGTTCAGTAGATATCAGTTTATAGCCTGGTATGGTTTATATATGCACATTTCCAGTTTTTAATAAAAACAATTGTGGGTGGCTTACAGTGAGATGTAGAAAATAGGGTAATTACAAAAGCAGTTACGAGGTCTGAGGAGGAGCTGCAGAGATCTGCTGGTCAGGTGGTAGAGTCTTAACCTGGGACAAGCCAGATTGATACTCTGTAGTTTACGTTTAATTCTACGCAGTATCAATCTTGTAAGTTTTTAACCAAACATGGCAGCAGTAGCAGCTTGATGCATCACTTTGTTGATTTGTTTTGCAATTAGCGAAGTTAAATGATAAATCAAACTCTTACCAAATCCGGTAGTGAACGTGCAAACATCTTTGCCAACCACAAAGGTGAAAATCATGTCCTTTTTTTTTCAAAGATGCAGCCATTTTTGTTTTGCTTCATTCTTCTGCCTCTGGATGACGTGTTGATGTCTTACACGTTACTGCATTTCATTGGTCTGAAGCATTTCTGTTTCTAGGCTAACATACAGTAGCAGCCATTCAAGATGGCCCATCCCAGTCAATCGCCAGCCAAATGGCAGCCCACATCCCTATAACTCCCAGCGAAATTCCCATAATTTATTATATTTTGTATGCCCATTTTTTCTATAATATTTTTACTGCTGTAAACGCCAGAATTTCCCCATTGTGGGACAATAGAGGGATTTTCTATTCTATTGTATTGTATTCTATTCTATTCTATTCTATTGTATTTTATTCTATTCTTTTCTATTTTTGGAGCAGTGGCACAATTTGCATAATCTGGGAATTAAAGCAATTCCAGTCCATAATTTTTCAAAAGCCATGTAGAGGAGACAGCAAACATTAAGAACAAGGTACCCTGGCCAGCTGAAACCAAAATGTAAGATTTTGGTCTACATCTCGGGCTACATGTATGGTCTAAAAGCTAACACTACACAATAGCAAAACTTGAACTGTTAATTATAATATATGGCCAAATGCTTTAATTTCTAAACACAAAATGCTACAACGGAGACACTTTTAAATTTTTGTCATTTTTTATAAGGTAAGTTGAAAAGGTTAAAACCCTCCTTCCATGATACAGTTTTGCTTTGCTTTGGGCTGTCACGTAAAAACCATAATGAAATACATAACAGCTTATGACAACAAAATGAAAAGGTTTACAGCATATAAATACTTTGGCAAGTCATTGTAGAGACCCATATGGCGTTTTGTTTTGCTCAGCTGTTCTTATGCAGGTTGTCATGATTGATTTCAATAGGCATTGAAATGAAGTAGAAAATGCAGATCTGGAAAGCTCAAAGATTCTTGACTTTCATAAGCCTAAAAAGTGTTGATTTAAATCGTTAGCACACACATCCATAGAACCCCCATCTGCACGATTACACAGTGGATTTAGCATCGAATTGTCATATTCAGCAGTATATGAAGGCAGATCAGGTTCAGCTGGCTTCACCCCTTGAGATGATTCTGTTGATGGGAAAAGATTCTGGGGCGAAAGACACAACACATCTGCTTGGTTCCATCTCCTGGGTGACGGTGCACAGAGGGGAAAAACTCTGTCTTGGACCTATTATAGGATGCACCGAGTACTGTGGTGAGTTCTGCCTGAATGCATCCTCCATGCCTCTGTGGGAAATCAGCCACGTCACACAGTCCTCCACCACAGACAGATTTATCATCAATCACCCACTAAACACTCGTCTGTTTATCAACGTGACTTGTTTTAAATAAGAAGACGGAACAGGGGGTGAGATCAGGGCTCGGAAACCAATCTGTTTTTATATACGTTGCTCTTGGTTGTTGTTCAGTCATCAGTCAGCTGGATCACCGTCTTAGTCCAAACTAAATCAGGATGGATCGTGCCCCTGTCGATTTTTTTCTCTCCTAAAGAGAAAACACTTCCATGTTCCTGTGAGATTTCTGTGACAGCAACTCAATGTTAACAGTTCCTGCTTGAATTAATAGGAGAAAGAAATCTTGATATTTCTGTTTGCATCATGAAAATTGTTCTGCCAGTATCAAATACTGATTATAAACAATGGTAACTCTGCATAATGGTTTATAGCAGGGGGCTAAACATTAAATTGTCTGATCTGCAGATAATCAATGAGAAAACCTGATAATTCAGCTGGAACTCAGGTGGAGTTTTAGGTTTATAATAAATGTGATGATGACTAGCAAAAAGGAAGTACAGTAGACAGCTGAACAGGCTGAGATGGCAAGCCAGATTAATAATGTGTAGTACTCAGCTTAAGTTCTTAAAATTATTGATCTGGAGCTGCTCCCTTCGAATCTGGGAAAAGAGGGACATTTGGGAGAACCTTCTGAGCTGATTGGGTAAAGCAACATCTAGTCTGATTTTAGCCAATCATGGTAACAAATGAAATACTGTAGCAGCAAAGGTAAAATAGTGGATTCCGACAAAAATAGATGTAATTGCAGCAGCTAGGCATAGGTTCTCCTGTGCTGCTGAAGTAATTCCAGAATAATGCAATCTTCCACATCCATCGCTACTCCTCCTCGCGTCACTGTCCACGTTCGTCTTCTCCATCCTGCACCATCAAAATACGGAGCCAACAATTTTCTGCTCCCTTCCAGTCTGGCCAGGTCAAGATCCACAATTGCAATGTAGGCTTTGCTTTGCGCAGGTGCCCTGGAGAGCAGCTGGGCAGGGTAGTAACGGAAAATGTGAGATTTCGGGGTATGGTAGCAATTCAATTCTGTCCAAGCCCTTATCCAGAAGTCTAATGAGGTAGCCATCTGGCCTTTATATATCGTTTATATCCATTCTTTCATCCAATTCAAACAGTTGCAGTGTGGCAATCCACACTGGATGCATGCAAGGCCCGTTCTTGCATCACCTCTTATCTTGAAATTTCTGGATCTGCATTATTTTGAGTTCCTGTCTGGCTCACTTGATTTTTTTAGAAAAACAATGCATTCAGCTCAATCATATTTAACAAATAAGCTTGATCTATGGGTCTGATTGAAAACAAAACTGGAAAGAAAAGGTTCTATTTATGATGGATCAATGGATGCATGGATGAAGCAGTCTGTGTGAATAAGGGTCATTCACAACCTTTAATAGATGAAAACCAAAACTTTTTTAATTACTCAACTGAAAGCACAGATATATTTACAAGAGAAATAAAAAAAACAACCTCAGATTCCAAAAGTAGGTATTCAACTATATATATATATATATATATATATATATATATATATATATATATATATATATATATATATATATATATATTACCATAGTCATAATATGTTTTAAATTCTACAAAGTGAATAAAACTGAAATGTAAATTATTTGTAAATAGATTTATGTCCTGGATCAACATCTATTCCTGTTATTAATATTATCAACAAGTTCAGTTTAATAAATCCTGCATCATCGTTCAAAAATATATAAAACTATAAAACTGAGATTGGTTTGGATTTCTGGATTTGACCTCATCATTTCCAGACCCTGAACATGCCTCCTCGTGTTCCATGGAACGAGGAGAGTCTTTGGCCTCAGAGCCCATGGCTGAAAATGAGGATGATCAACCAGCTGAAAAGCAGCAGAGCAGCAGAAACATTCTGAAAGATGCTGGAAGCTTGCAGCTCAGATAAAAAATCATATTAAATTACATTGTCCCCTTTTAAATATTAAATAGACTAAAGTTATTGGCTGCTCAGCTCACATGAAGTATGCTTTCTCAAAGCGTTGCAAAACAAATCACACTGAAACACAACAACATCATCAGGTTTTTAGAAATCAGAGCATTTATATGGTCAGATCTAAGTTTCTTCAAAAATCTGGGCAAAAGCTGGATGTGGAGCCTTTCAAAGAGCTCTCAGTCAGAGCTGACCCTTGTTTGAAAATACAACCTTTAAAGGAAGTCTTACTGTCTAATGTACATTCTTTTAATTTAAACGAGACATTTCTCCTTCCCACTGAACGTGGCCCCACATCACATGGAACAGCACTTCTCTAACAGTGGGATGGAGAAAAAAAAGTACTGTCATTATTTCTCTGAGTTTCCCTGTCACACCTGGTAACAACCTGCCCCCTCAGAGTATCTAGTGATTTACCCACAGTTTCTGTGCTCTATTTCCCTCCTTGTTCTGCTGGAAATGGGCTAAATCAGCCTCTGAAATAAAACCCGAAGCCTTATTTCTTTTCACTTTTTCTGCTTAGGGCATTCTCTTCTGTACCAGCCAGTGCATAAAAACCTCCAAGGACCTGCTGAAAATCTACTTGCATGAGTCGGATCGGGTCTACAGGGATAAACTGGTTGAGGAGCAGGACATCCATGCCTTTGATAAGCTACAGACGGACACAGTGAAAAAGTTCTATGAGGTGAGAATTTTTCTGAAGTTCAGCTGGGGTAGACGGGAGCAAGGAGAGAATCATTAGGCTGTCTGTATCTTGACTTAGGCATCAGTGGCCAGCACAGCGAAGAAAAGGAGGAGGAGGGAAAAAGGATTTTTTTTTTTAGGGGGAGAGAGGGCAGAAAGCCTGAAGAGACATCGGGGAGAATATTAACCAGTTTGGTATGGGGTCCGGCTGTCAGGGTCTGCACTGCCAGGCTGGCAAATTGGAAAACATTTTAATGGTTTCCTGCCCACTGCTCCCTCCTTACCCTTTCTGTTGCCCTGTGTCATGCACACAAGTAAAAAAAAAAAAAAAAAACTGACAAGCACACACACACACAAATACAGTTCATCTGGAAATAAAACGATTAAAATAAGAGATTGTGCAACAATTATGCAACAGCTGTAGGTTTACGCACTTCATGTGCAGCCTGTAAACCCACAGCTTGCATAATGATAATAATAATTGAACTTTATTAATCTCACACTGGAGAACTTTACTGTTGCATTTAACCTATCTGCTTTGGGAGCAGTGAGCTGCCATTGTGCGCCACCCTGGGAGCAGTGTGGCTTGGAGACTCAGTGTGCAGGCTGAGGGGATCGTACCGGGTACTTGCAACCTTGTCAGACCACAAGCGCTCTGCTCTAACCACAAGGCCAACACTTCCCCATGGAGGCATCTGCGATCCATGAAAATCAGAAATGCACCGATCAGGTTTTATACCAGTCAATACCATTTGTTTTAAACATGGAAAAAGTGCACACCAGGTTATTTCCCATATATTAGAATCCTAAAGAATTGCATCGAGAGGCATTGTAGAATTTACATAATGTTTCTCTATCCATTCACTAAATTGTCTGTCAGACTTTTTCGTTTTCATATAATCCAACAAACCTACATCACACACTTATTGGCTGATTTGCTTAGAGATGAAAGATAAGATCGTCTTTTCAATGCATTAATAAAAGTTCATAAAAATTTACCAGATAATTGTTGAATCAAACATATTAATTAGTGCATCTCTAGTAAAAAATTACAGCAGTGCATGTTTTCTTAGTCAGTTATACTGTTTACTTGAGTTATACTGGCAAGGACCCATCTCCACTGCAGTTTTTCTATCTTTTAAATGCTGAAAAAATAAATTCAGGATATAAAACAATTCATTCTGAGGGGGAAAAAGTAAAGCAGACTTTTTTAGAAATACACTGGTCAATGCTTTGTGTCTGATTGCTTAACTCCAGATTTAGTGAACTGTTGTCTATTTATACAAAGTTTAGTCAATTCTGGTTTCTTATTAAGAACTATATAAAAATTGAAGAAAAAAATATAACGATTCTTTGCAACCTCCTTTGTAACTGCTATTTATAGGAAAAGAGGAAACATTGTAGGCTTTTTCAATTGTAAAACAATCACATTCTGATTAATATCTAACATCTTATATTAGCTACTTAGTTTGTAGGATAACTGACACTATGGTGCATTTGCTGACAAAAAAATATTTGAGTCTCTAATTTCTCAGCTTCAGTCAAGTTAAAATTGGTCGTTTCCCATCAGTAGTCAGTTTCTTAGTGCAACTCTAGTCTAACTTTTTCATACAGACATCTTTCCTTAAGAGGCAGAATCTAGAGTGAAACATTTCAGAGCCAGCATGGATGAAAATGAACTGGGTCAGCCTCTGCAAAGCAAAGACGTTTAGCTATGTCCATGTCCACACAGTTTAGGCCTAACAGTAATGTTCCGCTGGCAGAAGAGTGCTGCTGTCACTGTTTACCACAAATGTGTGTCTATGAATTTCCCCAAGGACATGGAGGAGGAGCTGCAGCAGACCAGGGAGATGAACCTGTACTGCCATTTCGCCGGGGGGCTGGAGGAGCCCAGGTACATGCCAGTGGAGTCCTGGAGCAGCCTCAGTAAAATCCTGCTGGAAGCTCTGGAAAGCTACAATGAGGTCAACGCCACCATGAACCTGGTGCTATTTGAAGATGCAATGGCTCACATGTGAGTCCAGGTTAACAACTCAGGGCGCATATACTACTTTTCTTCTTTCTGAAATGTATAACTTTATCAGAAAAACAGAGAAACAAATTATTACACAACACTTAACATCTGGTCACTTCTGACTCACCCATTGAGAAGCAAAACATCATAATTTACCGTGCAGACTGTTCTCTTAGTCATACTCAGTTTTATCCAGGGTCTTGCTTGTTAAGGTCAGCTGATGTTCCTCATCTGCCACTCTGCACTGCTGGCTCTTAAACAACTCTTTGCTGGACAAATTATTGTTCTCCATTTTATTTCTTAGAAGTAAAAATATAGGTCCTGAACTTCAAAATGTTTGATTGTCTTAAAATATATGCAGATATGTTTTTATTTAAAGAGTAAATCAAAAAGGTTGCAAAATTATTGCTTATAGCTTTTTTTTTAGTTTGTTTGCCTTTATCAATAGGCAGACCACATTCTAATGCCCAAACTAGGTTTAAGATTATAGGTTGTTTTGTTAAAAAGGTAATATTACAAGTATTTTGAATCCAACCAAAATGACTAAAGAATGTCAGATCATTTTTTCTGGGCTTGATTTTTAATAAAAATGGCTATGTTAATTTTTTTATACTTTAGGTCGATATTGGAATATTGTGAAAATGTAATTATGTGCTTACATGTTAAACTGGAACTGAAACTGCATAAAGCAAGCTGATTAACTCTACTTATGTTTGGAAAGTAACAGATGTTTGAGTAAATAAAGCCCTGAATGATGAGAGCAGTTAAGAGACAGATAAGAGCCCTTAGAGCGAACAGTGGAGTTTAAAGAAGTAAAGGCAGTTAACATTTGTTTCCAATTGTTTGGCTTTAGCGCCAGTTGGCATCTAAGAAGTTTAAATGTCATCTTATGTATAATCACTGAAAGTCGTTGAAACGTTATTGAAATTGCAAGAAATGCAAAGCGGCTAAACTGTCATCAGGAGAAGATGAAATTTAAATGTCAGCGCAACTGGAAGCGCGGAAACAACTGAGATTTGTCACTTTGTATGTGAAACATGGCAGCAGTTAAAATGGGAGTGTGTTTGTAGTTGTTCCTTTCAGCTGTGCAACTGGAAATAATGAAATCAGATCATCTATTAAAAATGAAAAGACAAAAGGACATTCTTATTATATATATTATATGAAATGTTATGGAGTGAAGCTCAGTCTAGAGAAAAATAACATTTTTAATTGGAAACCCAAATAGAGAGGGGTGTTGTTCCTTATTAGAACAAAAGAAAGAAAGCAAACCTTCTCAGGGTCTTTTTTTTTCAGTCAGCTCTTTTCCCTTACATTCTATTTTTTCTTACTCTTTCCTTTCCACTGATTCTTTCCTCCCACTGCTCTGTACATACAGCTGCCGAATAAACCGAATCCTGGAGTCTCCACGGGGCAATGCGCTGCTGGTCGGAGTAGGCGGCAGCGGCAAGCAGAGTCTGACCCGACTGGCTGCCTTCATCTCCAATCTGGAGGTTTTTCAAATCACCTTGAGAAAAAACTACGGTCTCACAGACTTAAAGGTTTGAAAGGAAGATATTCAGTGTCTGGTTGTTGCAACGTTTTTATTGTTCCTTGCAAGTATTCATACCCTCTCTTTTTTTATTAATTTTCCAGCATTAGTTTATTTGTGCAATACCTGCAGTAGTAGCCATTCAAAATTTCCCCACTTTCATCGATGGGCCCTTGGCTGCTCCTGGGCTGGTCCTTGGCTGATGCTTCACTGGTTCCCTACAATTCCTTTTTTAAACATCAGTATTTGTAATAAAATATTCTTTCTGTCGTGATTTGTGGACATTAAGATCTAAAGAGAAGAGTCCTCTCCTGGTTAGACCCTGTAAATTAGTGAAAGGGTGGAGTCAGGGCAAAAAAATATGCAAGAGGGGGTCACTGCAGTGGCTGGAAGTTGGAGGAGATTTCCCATGGAGGTGCAGGGAAGTGGACAGGGGAGTGCGTTTGACTGGGAAGGTATATTCTAAAACATGAATACACCCTGATTGAAAGCATGCTTATGCTGCATTGGCTGCAGCATCACCACTATGATTAAAGGTGCATGTCTTTAGCACCTTCCTATATTAACACCCTGTGTTTCAGTCTGCCCATCATCTTATTGACTCTGAATGGGAGCAAACAGAAAACTGACCTTAGACCAGCAAAGCTCCCTAAAATAAACATTAGCATTTTAGTTCTCTGGTACATATTGAAGTATGATCCAAGGTAAAACAGGACTATAATACAACAACGGACGAAAAACTAAAAGGTTCTTTTTTTATACATATTTAATTAGCTTCCATGTTGTTGCTGAAGAAAAGCATTCTGTTGTTACTGTACCACTATGTTATATGTCAAACATGATTCGTTTGAAGAAGTGCACAGAAAGTTCCCCCTCGTCTTTTCATCATAATAGCTATATTTATAGTAAAATAAGTTTACTATTTAGATGTTTACTCAAAAAGACGATTGAACACACATTTCTTTAATATTATTTGGTTAAGAAAATTTCCTTACCATATAGTAATTTTCTTCAACTTCTTAATTAGGCAATGCTTTGTATTGGTTTATCACAGTCCATCTCAATAAATTAATTGAATATGATGTCATTAAATGGCAAAATATGGAAAGGTTAAAAGGGTATGAATATAGCACGTCTCTGTACAGTTTTAGAGTTCAAACAGCATAAGGATGTTTGAATGTCAGATGCTTTTGAGTGGGAGAAACTCCTTTTATCATAATAGTCTAGTTTCTCTAACAGCTTCAGTTTCTACGATTTTTCTCATTCCTGATCCTCCTACTCGTCTTCACTTCCCACCCAGACTGACCTGGCATCGCTCTACATCAAAGCTGGTGTGAAGAATGTTGGCACAGTGTTCCTGATGACTGACGGCCAAGTGGCAGATGAGAAGTTCCTCGTTCTGGTCAATAATCTTTTGGCATCAGGTAACAGCAGGCCTCTTTAATTATTGTGTTTGTAGGAGAAAGATTTGATATCTTAGTTTTTATATTCGTGAAAATTACAGATTGTCATTGCTTCCTAGTCTGGTTTTAACGTTATGAAGAAATCCAAGGAAGCTCTAACTACTGCTGTTTAGGGGGCCAGTCCATTATGGTAGGAATACATTTATTATTGTTCTACCTAGGTATTTAAAATGTACTGTAAAAGAAATGAATTTTATTATTTTCATATTTTTCTCAGACAACAAAAATCACATAAAAAAACAGACAAAAAAACAAAAAACAATTGTCTCTATGAGAAAAACATCTTTTTCCAGGCTCTCTTTAATGACCCAGCCAGTTTACTATGAAATGCTCGCTCCTCTCTGTTTGTGCTTGCAGCCTCAGTCCTGCACAGCTGTTATGTTGGTTAGAATAATGACTAAGATATATTTTTGTTTGTTTAACTATGTTCCTGATATAGTATTAATTAAATCCTTTGTTTTTTTTAATAGGCAGCTATCTGCAACATTCAGCATTTGTTATTACTGACCTCATGAGGTCTCCCCAGCACACTCCAAGCTCCTGAACTTGCACAAAACATGCTATATTTAGTTGCAATCAAATGCACTTTTCAGCTTTTCAACCACAGGTGCATTAAAACCCAGAGTAAAACATGAACATATTTAAATAAATATATTCATAATCCAGCTCTAGTGAATTATTGTACCTACCAGGGTTTGCACTTACTTCTTGCATAGTGTGCAATTTTAATCATGTCATCCTTCATGGAACACATAGTCTATCATTTGGGACACAAAAACAGCATGAATCCTTGACTACCCATTTTGCAATTTCTAGACTATCCACACACTCATGGTTCTTTTCAGCAGCTATGATGCCATCAAATTGAATTTGATTGGAAACCTGGAGTACCCAGAGAATGCAGAAATATGAATATGGAGAACATGCAAATCCATACAGAAAGGTACTAACTTGGTTTTGAAGCCAAGGCTTCTTCATTGGGAGTGTTAGTGTCTCCCTCAGCCTGGATAAGCTGCATAAAATCATCAAGACAAAAAAATAAAAAATAAATTAATAAATAAAAATGAAACTTCTTTAATAAAAAACTTAATGCATGAAGTAGCTTAGTGATTTATAGATGGATCAAAACTTCAGCCAGCAAATATTTTTGTCCAATATTTTCTCGTATCAGCAGCGGCCATTACATGCATGGGTTTGCTCATTAATGAGTTGATTCAGCAGCCATGCCTTGAGATTACGTGAAGTGAGTTTTAAAGTTTAGGAAACTGTTATTAACTTTACTGTCAGCAAAAAATTAGCAGTTTAGCTCCCACAAAGCAAGTTAAGAGGAGAGATGGCTGAAAGACATTCCTCCTAAAGCATACAGTAGCATAGATCACAGTCAGTATTTCAAAGAGCACTCCAACATTCGTTAAGACAATATCATTGAAATTGAATGTTATCTATTACTGCTCTTTCTTATTTTACAAAAAACTTAATATAACAAACCAGAAAACAAACCATTTCATAATGCCAATCAACAAGGTAGCAGGCTGTGTTTTGAAACAAGCCTTCGCTTTGCAGGTCTTTGTTTTGGCTCTCAAGCATCTTCCTTTAACCAGCTCCAGTTAGGTTTCTGAAAGGGGACGTCTTTCACTTCACATCTTGAAACATATGATAGGTTTCAGAAATATTAACCCCTGTTTTTGTGCATTTATCTCTTATAATTTAGATGTATAATTTCCAATTTCAAAAGTTGATAAAATTATGTAAAATGTCCTGGATTATAAAATTGAACTTCGCCTCTTTGGATATCTATCTTAACATCTACCTCCTTTTGGGAAATTCTCCCCTATTTTGCATACATTTTGCATAATATATAAATAAAAACTGGGTGACTAAAGCAAAACCAAGCTGCATCAGTTCAAACATGAATCAAAGTCATTTTTTATTTTAAAACATAATAGGTTTTTTTTTTTTACATAAAGACACGCTTGCTTGTTGTGACTGCTTTGTCATTTTTACATTTTGACATGCTGTTATATTTGTGTTATTCGTACAGTACTTTGGTCCTCCGTATGTCCATAAAATAAACTTGGTGATTAAATTATGGAGAATCTAAGCTTTCCAATGATACCTAACATGTCCATATTGGAAAACATGTTACTGGTGTAATTTTCATGCATTCTGAGATATTGATTGTAAATGCTATAAAACGGGTCGCCGGCAAACTGGTGGGTTTTGAGAGGCTAATCTACACTGGTACGATAACATTCATCCATCCATTTCTGTCACGCTTAATCTCAGTTGGGGTTGTGAGGGGTGCTGATGCTTATCTCTAGCTGTCTACACGTGAGAGGCGGGGTCCACCCTGGACAGGTCGCCAGCCCATCGCAGGGCAACACAGAGACAATCAGGAAAAACAACCATTCACACACACACTCACAATTAAGGAGAATTCAGAGAAACCAATTAACCTAACGGTCATGTTTTTAGTACGATGAGATCTGCAACTAAACAGATATAGATGAAAACCCTACACAGCACATATCATTTGGATATAAGAAATATGACAGACCAGGTCTCAAGGCCATACCTGACATCTGATTTCATCCACCTAAACACATCCTAAGCAAAAAGAATGCTTATCCTCCTTATGGAACCTGACTGATCTTCTGTAGAGGCACCAGTGTCTGTTAATGAATCGCTGTAAATGGCACATTAAGTGCTTGTTCATGTTAGTGGTCGCACAGCTTTGATTTTACTTGTCACAGGAGGTGCAGTATTAAAATAGGAGTGAAATTAAACAGTTGGGGCAATAGGTGATTCTGGACAGGGGTCAACAGGGGCCAGTAGCCCTGTAGAACTGGTCCTTGCTCTTGGTATTGCCTTTGTAATGAGGAAATATTGCTAATTCATTTAATTATGTTGGAACGCACTGGGATTGAAACTGATTGGTCAAGGTTACACTATTAGATCAGCTGTGTTGAGATACGATCATAGGTTTCATCTGCTTGATCAGGAGTTTGAGACCTGCAGCCTCAGATGTCCAAGTGGTTCTTTAGCTCTGTGGATCATCTAATATAATAGCAATGAAATATCCCCCTGTTTCTTTTTTCTTTATCCTTTGTTCTGTGCTCTTATAAAAAGACAAAATATATAAGAATATAAAAAGACAAATTAAAATAAGAAAAAAAAACTGCCACCCTCTGATTTATATGGTCTGGGGCATAAATTGATTCCTAATCTCGGGTGGAGGCCTAGAATGTCTTAATTTATTGAAAGTGAGTGTTCCGTGCATTTTAAGTTTATGAAATAGTGTGATAGTTTGACTATTGCAAACAAATTCATAGATATATTTCAAATTTCTAACAGTTGATGGTCAATAATAATGTACTCTTTCGGGGGCACGGTCATACAAAAAAACAGAGCTTTCTAGAGGATCCTAGGTCTGCACTGAATGTCTAATAACTGACACTTGGATAATTGACACACTATATTTGCTCTTTGCATAATATTAATGGATTATTGCATATTTACAACAATATGTGTAAGTGGTGGTGGGATCGTCATGCTGAGGGAATAGTGATGTCTTACAGAAAGTTGAGACCAGGATAGGAGAACAAACAAAGGTGAAAGACAATTTTTACCCTTTTAATTTATCATAAAATGAAATATAAACTTGTATGTAATCAAATATATATATATATATATATATATATATATATATATATATATATATATATATATATATATATGAAAAACATTTAGCACATTTGTATTTATTATTTCTTTCATTCAGTTTTGTGTTACTTTAATTACTAGCCTAGATTGATAATTTTCTTTAATAGAGGCTATGTAAACGTTCAAGCACAACTGTTCCTCTATGAGCCTGGCTTTTTTTTAACTTTAAAGGTACTCAAACTAAATTGTAGAGCTTCTCCACAAGTGGACAATAACATTTGTATTGTACTGAGGAATTGAAGCCCAGCCCTTCCATTACACGCACACTTGAGTGGTTAGATTGATTTTGTTCTATTCTTGTCATCCACAGTTTGTTGAAATGTTTATCATTCTGTGAAAATATAAATACAGTGTTAAAAAAATATTTGTTATCATTGTTATTCCAAAAAAAAAAACTAAAAAAAAAATCAACTGGACTTTGTTTCAATGTTTGAAGACGTTTCGCTTCCCATCCAGGAAGCTTTTTCAATTCAAAATGTCAGGAATAGCGTTCAGTTCGAGGCTTTATAGAGTAGCCCAAAAAAAGCCTTGTTTTTTTTTTGAAAACATGCAAATTGAAACCAACGAAGGGGTCATTTGGCTTCTTTTGTTAGCCTGCAAAGCCCCATACCCGTCTATGTCGTGATGGGTTTTAGTGGAGCTAAACCCAAACGCAGAACACCACGGAGACTGAAATAAAATTTAAACAGTTTATTAAAACGAAACAAAATCCAGGTTTGGTTCTGATACAGGAATGAGTCTTGGCAGGTCACACAGAATGCTCTTATCTGTGGTTATGACTGAGCGGTGGAGAGAGGAGACAGAAGAGTCCAGAGACTGAGGGATAGCAGAGGGCTAAGCAGCAGCAGGGCTAGGCTACAGACTTGCGTGGACTCAGTCCTAGAGTTGCTCTGAGTTCTCACCTAGAGAACAGGTAAGCAGATTTAGACTGTAGATCTCCTGCTTGACTACCAATAGCAGGAAGGCAGATTTCTGATGAGCTCCTCCAGAGCTCTTGAGATGCGGCAGGCAGATTACAGCAAGGGGACTCTTCCAAAGTGTCCAGGGTTTATTCCAGAGCAGGTTGGCAGGCTTCAGATGATGGGCTCCTCCAGAGCTCCTGAGACACGGCAGGCAGAGTTCAGCTAAGAGAGCTCCTCCAGTGTTCCAGGGTTCAGTTGGGTTTCTTCCGTGGTTAACTAACACTCTGGCGTCGGAGTGTTGTCCACAGTCCACTTAAATACTGGTCCCCTGATGAACAGATGAGGATCACCCGGTGAAGACAGCTCCAGGTTCAGGAGATCCAGTACACCCTCTAGTGGAGGAAGGTGGACAGCACTCCAGAACCAAGCAGAAAAAAACAAAACAATCAGGAAGGGATCCTCGGCGCCCTCTGGTGGGCAAGCCTCAGGATCCCAACAGTCTAAGTGTCTGAAAGGGGGGTCATTAAAGAGAATTGTTGGCCTAAAAGCACAATGTGAAGCGAAACGTCTTCAAACTTCCAAAGTCCAGTGGATTGTTTTTAATTTTCTTTTTTGGAATGACCTGGATGACTGATAATCTTCACCAGCATATTTTCATTGTTATGTTAAATAAACATATTCATAATTGAACATGAACAAAATAAAGATAAACATTCTAAACATAGATGTACCTATTTATTTATTTGAAGCATTTGCAGCATATTTGGGACCCCTCAATTTAGGGAACATAATAGAACATTTTAGCCTATTTGTGCCAACGCTTTGGAGATGAACGAAGTGAAACTTGATGCTTAATTGTTTTTGCTTTTAAACTAAGATATGTTTAAACCTGTATTCAGAGTGAAAATATTGATTTTAAAACCCAGTTTACCTGCTGTTCTATTGACATAAAATGTTAAACTTCATTGATCTTGGATGCATTAAACTAAATGGAAATAAGAAGTTGAGATAAAGCAGTTTAAAAAAGATTTGTAATAATAATGGCACCTAAATTTATATCGGATACATTTTCTTTTCTTCACCCTACATCTATTCAACCACCTCAATGCTCCACGCTCATCAGTGCTTTGACTGGAGCTGTGACTTAAAGCAGATATCTGTATTAGCATATAAGTCCCCTGCGTGATCTCCTGCAGTCTCCACCTCTATTACCACAGCTAGATTAGATTTAAGAGTCTCTGTGCTCAGTGTCAGCTCAGATCCCAACTAGATAAGAAACTTTTTCAGAGTTCACAGGCAGCTTAAGCTCATATTAAAACAAGGTCTGGAGGCACCCCTGTAATGTGATTCATTTTATTCATTCCAGGAGAGATTCCCGACCTGTTCCCAGACGATGAGGTGGAGAACATCATTGGCAGCGTGAGGCCAGAGGTCCGCAGCGCAGGATTGATGGATACCAGAGAAAACTGCTGGAAGTTCTTCATCGACCGCGTTCGCAGGCAGCTCAAGGTGAGGCAGAGAGATAGGACAAAAATCCTCGCTTGTTTTTTTTTTTTTTTTTTGCTACTGTGGATTTCTAAAGTAATCATCCAGAAACAAACGTTCTTAGTGGCTCCCTTCCAGTGGAGAGTTATGCATTAATCTTCTTTGCAGAGCTTCGCTTATGTTTGATCTCCATCCTTTCTTAATATAGCAAAAGCTTGCAGCCTCACACTCTAATTTACCACTCCTAAATAAAAATAAAAAAATCTCTCAAACTTAGATAAACATCTGACTTTATGAAGGAGCTTCTCCCTAGACAATTTTCTTCCCTGACACTTTCAGATGAACTTGAATACATTGGGGGGCGGCGGACGTCTTTATAAATGACCAGTAGGAGCAGAAAAGCTGCCGTTTAGCTACAGATAATTTCTCCAATGTGTAGTCGCTTTGTTCCCTCTGGGGAAGGAGAGATTCCAGAGGGCTGCTTATCCTGTCATTATTATAGCGTACACCACCACCTCCCACATCCCTCACCCCCAAACCACTCCCAGCACAAGCCTCTGTAGATCGGGGAGTGAATAAATAAGGAAGGCAATCCCACAGGCAATCTTCTAAAGAGTGGATTTCTGACTGTTTAGTTCTTTCTATTTAAACTGCTTGTCTGGGTGGAAAGGGAACTTTTACAGAAACGTTGGCAAGCTTCAATCATTGCATGAGGATGTGCTGAGGCTGTGTTTCAGCATGTCGCTCTGTGTGTTGAGCGTAAATTCCAAAACTAGGCCACAATTTACCATGCTTCTGGAACGTTTTTGACGAACTGCTCTCCCAGTCGATGGGGAAGAGTTTGAGGGGGTTAGTTCATCAATGGTCCAGCCTTTCTACCTGAAAAAAACCCTGAATGTTGGAACTGTAACTATACAGTCAAATGTTATCACTTTTTTCCATCACAGTGTTTTTATCACTACTGCTCACCTTCATCAAGGCTGCACTTTGAAAAATGAAAAAGTCTCGAGAGCTGTACTAAATGATTTTGTACACTTGGGTGCACAAAATGACAAAATAAAATCTGTCTGTCTGTCCACAAAATCAGTGACATAAATAACCAGAACAAATGATTCACATCTGACCTGGACCTAATGTGGTACACATGCAGACCAGCAAATGGTTATGTAAATGATTCAATTGTGTGTGGGTGCTCTCTCATACCTATCGGTTCCAAAGTAGGGCGACTGTACCATCTGTACAATCCGCATGCTGACAAATGGCACAAAATGACCTCTCCTCCCAGCCCATAATATGCATCCCAATCAAAAACCAGAGCTTTCTGGTAAAGCTAACAACTCGAGGATCTTCTTCGTTTGCTAACATTTACTCAGAGGTTTCATTAACTACCAGATGCTCCAGGAGCTGCCTGATAACTGCAAATTAAAAAAGTTATGCATTTATGTTTTTTTACCACTTTGTAGCTAAACAAGAGCATTCATTTTGGCTTCATAGCTGCTTTTAGTAAAGTGTTTAATAGTGTGTCTTTTCTTCTATACCAGCTTTCTACAGATATAAACCAGCTTAGAGGTATAGTAGAGGATGTTCTTTTTCCGGGTGGATCATCAAAATAAGTGGTCCTCCTAATTGTTAATCATTCTGGTGCTGGTCGCGACTTTTACTTACAGGTGGTGAGTTTGACATAGTGGAAATATTGCAGATCTTCTTTTGGAAAATAAGATTTTATGAGCGATGCAAACAGCAACTTTTAAGCAGTGTGCACGAGGAGAAATGGGCTGGTGCATGCTCGCACGCGTTTAATAGGTGTTCCCTCTCTGGAGTGGGTAGGGTTATGCCCGCCAAAAAATATGCATTTTTTTTTTTTTTTAGTTTTAAAAAATTCAAAAATTCGCAAAAATCCTACGCTATGTCTTTAAGCATTTTGTTTTTCTGTGACTGTTGAAAAAAATATGTAAAATTCAACTAAATGTAGCTATTCTTTGGGATCTTCATTGGAATAGTGAAAAAAAATTATTAAATACCTAAAAAGCACACACAAATATAAATGACATGATTTAATTCCAATTATCTGCACAATATTTTCGGTGGGTGAGTTGTTTGACGTCTTGTGAGGGAAAGCTGAGTAGCAGTCTGTAGTAAAGCAACACATCTGTCAGACTGCACATTGGAAAGGCCATGCCTTGGACCTGTTTTGCAGCTAGGTTCTCACACTTTCTTTTTCTTTAGCGGAGGAAAGATTGCTTTTAGTAAATACCGGCACATTCTAAGATCAAATATCACACCCTCTGGGAAATGTGGAAGAAAAAAAGGATAATGGCTTGTGTAGCGTGGAAATGATTTCCGGCACACCTCAGAATCCACATTAGGCTGCAGAAACCCAAACTGTGCGGACCTCGGGAGAGTGGTACAAAGGTGGAATCATACAAAACTTCAGAGGAGAGAAAAGCTATTTTGTCTCTATAAGGTTTTTTAATCTTGCCTCCTGATTTATAATTAGATCTAATAATAAACTTTTGTCTTGCCCCACAGATAATCTTATAAAAGGGTTTGCAATAATACACCATTAATGCTGATTTAAATTGATTTAACAACTTTAAAAACTTTTTCTTTTAAATTATTTTTTCAGGATTTCAAATATACCCCAAAAAAATTATTTAAAATGTAAAACAAAGCCTTGATATTGACTTTGTATTTACTTCATTTAGAATTTTTTGCTTCTCTGAGCTGATTAGTTACCATAGGCGGTTTCTCTGGGTGCGCCTTCTGCTTGTTTATTTCTTTAGATTGAAAATGTCGAGCATCTGGCTGAGTGTCTCAACAAGCCAGCTGTTAGTCTCCAGCAGTGAAAATCAGTCTGACATATCCCAGAGCTCAACACACCCCTTTAATCCACATACATGAAGGAAGCTTTATTTGCCTAATGATGGAGCTGCAGATAATGAATTCACGGCTCTCCATCACCGTTCTAGACCATTAATGGGTGTTAGTCTCACATTTCCTCTGTAGGCCTGCTGTGTATCTACCTGCATCCAACAAAACAACTCAATGACTCTGATCTATTTCTGTGTCCGAGTCCAGCCTGTATTATTGTTGCCATGCCATCCCTTGCAGGTTGCTCTGTGCTTCTCTCCGGTCGGGAATAAGCTGAGGGTTCGTAGCAGGAGGTTCCCCGCAGTGGTGAACTGCACTGCGATTGACTGGTTTCATGAGTGGCCACAGGAAGCACTGGAGTCGGTCAGTTTAAGGTTCCTCCAGGATGTAGAGAACATCGAGGTAAGAGAAACTCTCCCTATAAACAATACAGTAGCAGCCATTCAAAATGACCCTTCCCAGTCAAACACCAGCCAAATAGCAGTTCCACTGGGCTTCTCCCGGGCGTGCATTTTTTTTTTTACTCTGACTCCACCTTTTACTGAATTACAGGGTCTGACCAGGAGACAACTTTTCTCTTTAAATTTGAATGTCCACAAATAATGACAGAATATTTTAATACAAAGATTGATGTTTAAAACTCAATAGTAAGGGACCAGCCAAGGGCCCGTCACGGAAAGTGGGGAACTTTTGAATGGCTACTACTGTAAATACCAAAAGAAAGCTTCCACACAAAGGAAGTTCTTGGGATTTTAATTGTGAAGGACCCAAAAATAATTGTCCATGACCCAGAGGAAATACTTCCCCACATCTTCTCCCACTTTCACTGTGTCTGGTAACTCTTAACCCATGCAGCCTCAGGTAAAGGAGTCGGTGAGCAGATTCATGGCCCACGTCCACACAAGTGTCAATCGAACATCCAAGGAGTATCTGGCTAATGAGCGCCGCTACAACTATACCACGCCTAAGTCTTTCCTGGAGCAGATCAAGCTGTATCGCAGTCTGCTGGGTCAAAGGAGCAAAGAGCTAACCGCCAAGATGGAGAGGTTGGAGAACGGCCTCCAGAAACTCGGCAGCACATCTGCTCAGGTATTTTCATCATTACTGTGACCTCAAATTCCTGCAGCTAGATGTGTAATCAACTAGAGAGAGTTTCTGGTTTGGATGTGGTTTATTCCCCTTAAATATCAGTCATAGGTAGAGAAATGCCATAGCTCTATGTGTGACATGCCACACATAGAGCTGAAACTGAGGATTAGAGGCTAGTGATGAAGCTGTGTAGGGATATGATAAAACTGCATTATAGATCTCCCGAAGGTTAGGTATATATTGCTAATATTAATCTCTATTATTATATTAAATATCAGGTATACTGTATGCAGGTAACAAAAAGGAAGTAAAAAAAAAGCAACTTAAAATTGATAAGCAATAACTGACAACATGGTAATTTACTGTAGCACATTAATCTTTGCTTTAGCAGAAACCTCTCAATAGACAAGCAGAGAGGAGAAAATGTCCAGACAAGAGTGAACTGGAAGCAATTACTACAGCATTGCACTTGCCTCCAAAGATTTAACTTTAAATCAGTCCCTGTAATAGATAAGCTTACTACAAACAATTAGCTAACAAATCAGACTATGTTACCGCTCCCTCTTCTATCTTACTAAATGCTTCACCGAGGATCCATCCGTCAGCCTTGGTGGTTGGGGAAAAAAAGCAGGTGGGCACTTTTTTTTTCGATGTAAGACAAACTCTGACCTCAGTATATTGCAGAGCTAAGAACGTGGCACAAACACCGACTTTATGATTGGTAGGACATGACTACCGTTTTAGAAATATTTTGCAGGTGAAACAAATGTCATATTTTTTGTACGTATTTCTACTGACTGGAAACAATATATATGTAATGAAGAGGGGGGGTTGAAGTTTCGGTTTGAAAACAAAAGAGTTTGTAGAGGAAGCTCATGATTACAGTGAACATATGGAAGCTTTCCTACTCTTACAAGTTATAACTCATTGTCAAATATTCTGCGTGTGTGAGCTGTGATTGACACTCCATCAGACGCTCCTCTGGCTGTGATTGGTTGTTTTGACTCGTCCCGAATTATTCTTTCCAGATTGAAATACAGGCAGTAGGCGGTACCAATTGAAGCAGTTTTTTTCACAGGTTACATATCACATGTACTGCTGTCTGGGCATAGGGACAGTTTTAGCCAATATGACAAAAAAGTGATTTTTAAAAACTTACAGACTTCAGCTTTAAGATAATCAAATTTAACATGAGAGTAATACTAAGCTTATTAACAATCTAAAATTATTGTTGACAATTACACCTAAATCGATGTATGTTTTAGACATGCCTTAGGTTTTCTAAAAGTACCGCATTTACTGTATTTAATAGCAACCTTCCTTTTCTGGGAGAACTTTATGCGAACCCGCAGGAAGCCATGTCTGCAATACTATTTTGAATGTGTTGAGGAAACTATGGCAGTGCTTTAATAGGAATTGGTTTATAATTTGTGTTTTGTAGAAACCTAAACACAAAAAAATTAGGAATGTTAAACCCTAAAAAACAAATGGCAGTACTTTATTACTTACTGAGATGCAGATGGAATTAAAGTCTCACTATGTTGGATATAGGACTTAATTTCCCTTTTACAAGGTTGAATTTAAAAACTGTTGGCCTTAATCCAAGCTAACACACATTGTAAAGAATATGTTGTACATCACACATGTCCAAAGTATGTATTTACCAGCTGTGCACATCTAGGGACTGACATTTTGGATCTTTGTATCTGCAAAATGTACAGCATCTCCACAACATGGTACTGCTACAACAAAGCACTTATAGGTGATATTGGGTGTAAAAAAATCAGAGTCAACCTATTTTACTATCAACAGAGTATTTAAAACTATACTGGGTGTGAATCTGCTCAAGTGTTGGAGTTCAAAAAAATTTGCAATGCAGTGTCGCTTTTACTATATATGGTATAGAGACTGACACGGGAGTGGATTTTCACTCCTGTCCCGTCCTACTCCCACAGAAAAAAATTGTGTCCCGTCCCGATCCCGGACAAGAGTAGAAATCTAAATCCTGTCCCGTCCCACTCCCACAGAAAAAAATTGTGTCCCGTCCCGATCCCGGACCAGAGTAGAAATCTAAATCCTGTCCCGTCCCACTCCTGGTGAAATTACTCCCACTCCCATCCCGCTCCCATTCAGAATGACTCCCGCTGCTCCACCACTCCCATTCTTGTTTTTTTTTTTTTTGAGCTCGGGAGAAAAACTCAGAGCGAAAGCACTGTTGATTTTTGGGTCGTGTAGTTTTTTTGACTCGCATTATGGTGTAGGGTTCAAGGAAAAAAACTACAAAATGGCGGTGCCAGTACTGGATTTTTTTTTTCTTTCTATTTTATTTTAGTTTTTGGCATCGATCCTAGTTTTTTTTTAAGTTGCTATTGGTTTGCTCCCGCTCCCGTCTGCTCCCGTTAATGTTTAATCCTGTACCGTCCCAATCACGTGATCGTTACTAATACTTACTCCCATCCCACGGGAATCCCACGGGAATCCCACGGGAATCCCGTGACCCGTGGGATTCCCAAAAAAATGTCAGTCTCTATGGTATTGATTACCCACCAGTCTCTGAGAGGTCTTGATTAGAGACACTGGCTATAGAGCCATACATTTAACACTGATTTAGAGTGGCACCAAATGTTATCTAAAACAGTTATATTAAACTCTGTAGGTTATAAAGTAACACTTTTTTTAGTGATTCAGAGACATGTTCAGAATTATATTTCTTTCGATCTACATATTTTATATGTACTGTAGACAAAAAATTTGCACAATATCTCATTGTACCATAATTTTTTATTTTTTTCCTCTGCTGCCCCTTTAAGTTTGTGGCAAAGTGGAGATTAGACCTTTTTAAAAATTTTCTTAGAATTGTTTTAGTTAAGGTTTATGTTGTGTTTAGCTAATAGTTATCCTATCAGCACGTTCTCCTATGAGATCTCATTCACCCATTCAGATACAAGGGTGTTTGTTGCCTTATTGATTACTACTCTCTTTCCCTGACTTATATGCGGACGACCACATTTTTTATTTGCGTTTGTGTTATGCCGTTTTGTACATCTGGGTGCTGGATTCATCAATACTCCTTGATATGTTAAAAATTGTGTGACCTAACACTGCTTAAACATCGCCTTTTTTTCCACACCTGTTTGCTTTCCCTAATGATCTTTATGGTACTGTTTTCACAAAAATGTTTCCTAACAAATCTCTAAGACCTTCACACAACAGATTGATTTAAATACAATAGCATCTATGTGCTACATAGCGACTTTAGAAGAAAAAGCACCCTTCTAGGTAAAAAAGAAAACTTTTTTATTGGTTCATTACATGAAAGCCTGAGGAAAATGGATTCAAACTTGAATAAAATAAAATAAAAATGGAGGATATTAATCCTTAATTGAGCCACAGTGTTTACTGTCTTGTATATCAAACTAAGTTGATTTGTGCATGTGGGCATGAAGAGCTGTTTGCAATGAAGACAGCAGGATCACTTATATGAAATTATCCTTTGCATAAGGTAATGTTTCAGTCTTTAATACCCACACCTGGATCCATTTGTTCCAATGTTTACCAGCTCTACTGTTTGCCAGAAGAGAGCTATATGAATAATGGAATGCAAAGCCTGAGTGTGAAGCAGTCCTAATTATAGTGGGCCCACTATCCTCTGTGAGTTAATGTAGAACCAACTACACAAACAGTTTCACTTTGGCATAACACGTATCTCTGCTGCTTTGCATAAACAGGCCCACACATTCCCACCCGCACAAAATCACACATACATAAACAGCCCTTGCGCATAAGTGACGTCGGTGCTGAAAAACACCAGAGTGTCCTGTTTTCTGTTCCCCCATCTCCAGTTTACTGTGGAAATCAGCTGCCACACATATATTATACATAGGTGGTTATTATGCTAAAAGAGGAGCTTTTTTTAATTAGAGAGCACACCCTTTACAGCAACAGACCACCACTAATGTAGTCTGTGTCTGTTAGTGCATCCACTACCCTATCTGTCCTATTTGAAGTATTCTATTTAACATTCTGCATAAGAGGAGCTGTGGATCACCGAGGAATGCTGTGGTCATTGACAAAGAGGATTAAAGCCAACCCAACCTTTGCAGCTATAGGGTCAGATAGATAGATTCATGAATCAATAAATAAATATATATATATATTAATAAGTATGTCTGTCTGTGTGTCTGTCTGTGTGTCTGTCTGTGTGTCTGTCTGTGTGTCTGTCTGTGTGTCTGTCTGTGTGTCTGTCTGTCTGTCTGTCTGTCTGTCTGTCTGTCTGTCTGTCTGTCTGTCTGTCTATCTATCTATCTATCTATCTATCTATCTCCTTTTTATGAGTCATAACCTCCCTCAGGAAAAGTCGTTTTTTTTATTTTTACTCTTGTGCAGATGCTGTCCTTCCTTTTCCTGCTTTAACTTTGATTTATGTTTGCAATTGGTTGTCTTACCACAAGCAGCTATAAAATAGCTAATATTATAAGTTTATTATAAGTTGCAAGAACTTCTGTAAAGAAGCTGATAAGTTACAACAAGCAGTGTTAAGTTTTCTTAAGAACTCCTTCCAGTCTCAGATTATACCAACAAAAATGTTCTAAGTCATGCTCAGATTGAGAACTCATATACCAACTTTCTGCTCCACCTCTATGATTACATTTACTGCCTTTAATGTGATTACATTTCAAATAAAGTTGCTTTTATTCACATACATACACCTATTTTATTCAGTATAGCTCCTAAGCTGCTCGCTAATAAAAACTGGACATTTTCCAGACACATAACTTTTCAATGTGGGTTGCTAGATAAGATAAGAAAGCCTTGCTGATGTTCAAAGCATCACTCTATGCGGCAATATTTGTTGGTCCAACGACGACTGCTGAACAACTAAACATTTCATGAAAAAACATATCCCAAGTTTATAGAACATATTCCTTTAAAAACAGAAAATATACAGAGAGCTCGGCAGTTGTATGTACAAAAACACCTTGATGACACTGAGTTAAGAA